ACACTTTTGACTTATTTTAAATGTTAATGACGGGCTGACATGTCGATAAAATTCAATAAGTTTTTTTTCAATACAAAGAACAATTTTTTCCCTTTATGACGAGCCTAAATTGAGCTCAATTGATCAATTTGTTTCTGAGTTATGAATAATTTTTAAACAGTCTATAGTGTCCATTTTACCCCACCCTCCCCTAACACTCATCACAAAGGGAAAGAATTGTTTTTTGTATTGAAAAAAAAAAAAATTAAATTTCATTAACATTTCAACCCGTCACTAATATTTTTAAAAAAGTCAAAGGTGTCCATTTTACCCCAACCTCCCCTAAAAATATGTGATGGACGGATTTTTTTGTGATTTTTGGGGGCCGCGGGGAGGAAAAATCGAGGGGAATTATTTCGGGAGATTTAGGGCTGGTCCAAGGATTTCCCAGGATGGAGGTGGGGTTGGGTGGGTTTGGCTCGCTCTTCACTGCCCCGTGCACTGCTCGAGGGGTTGCAAATATCCGAGAGGGGGTGTATTGCTGTGTGGGTTCGAGGTCGTGGATCAATTCGTTATTGCGAGGGTTTTTTTTCGTTGGGAATGGAAATGGTCGAAAGCAACAGTTCTCGCGAGGTTTTATCAGTGACGAGGTAATTGTTGGGAGCATTAATTTTGGGGGAGGGGGAGGGGGGAGTGATAAGCGATTGCTGCGGTCGGAGGCTTTGTTGGGATTTTTAGTTGAGTGTTTTTTTCAAGGGAAAGGATTCTACTGGAAAAATGTGGGGATTAGTCTGTTGAGGGGGTTCATGTTTATTGACGATGATCTCGTGAATGATGAATTGTGGACGTTCTCTTTGTTTTTGGTTTAATCGACGGAATTATTGACGGTGAACTGAATAGTGGAGAATAATTGGGGGAAGAGGTGAATTCGGTTTTTAGCGGACATTTAGGTTTTTTGGAAATAAAAATGATTTGAGACGTTTTTTACGCAGTGGTATAGCGAATAAATGAAGCCTTAGTTCTCTGTAAATATCGCCAAAGTCAAGAGAAATGACAAAAGTTTTTGGATTTGAAGGAATTAAGAGAAATAGTGATGTAAAATTGGAATTGACTCATTTTATTTTACGAGTTCATTTACATGAAGCTGAAACTAGCAGAATATTCGCCAGCGGAAAATTCAATTTAGGATATTTAAGTGTGGGAGAGTAGAATAATCATGTACAAATGTTTGTCAAGTGCGACAGAGTTTGTACATTACTTAAAAACATTTGCACACCTCGAGATTCGCCTGAGACAAATCTTCTGCTGTCGAATCTTTCGCTAGTTTCAGCTTCGTTTAATTTACGAATTCAATTTATTCTGTGAAAATCGATAGTGAATTATTTTATGAATACAGTGACGATTAATTAGACAAGAATTGATGCAATTGTTCAGGAATTATGCAGACCCAGTTTTCCAATCCTGTCACAACAGAAAATCATCAAATAATCAATAATTAAATTGATAGCTAACGAGAAAAATTCATTCTTCACAAAAAAATATTTGCGATGACACTTTACTTCTCTGTAAATATCTTCAAATCCAAGAGAAATAACTTAAGTTTTTGGATTCGAATAAACAGGAAAAAGAAGCCGCAGTAAAATTGGAATTGAATCATTTTATTTTACGAATTAGTTTACGAATTCAATTTATTCTTTAAATTCGATAGATGAAATGAATTATTTTATGAATACAGTGACGATTAATTAAACAAGAATTGATATAATTATTCAGGAATGATGCAGATCCAGTTTTCCAATCCTGTTACAATAGAAAATCATCAAATAATCAATAATCAAATTAATAATCAACGAAAAAAATTCATTCTTCACAAAAAAATATTTGCGATAAAGTTTTACTTCTCTGTAAATATCTTCAAATCCAAGAGAAATAACAATAGATTTTGGATTCGAATAAACGAAAAAAAGAAGCAATAAAATTGGAATTGAATCATTTTATTTTATGAATTAGTTCACGAATTCAATTTATTCTTTGAAAATCCATAAGTAGAGTTTCTTATTCTATGAAAACAATACAGTTTTCCCTATCACAATACAAAATAATCAAATCAATAATAAAATTAATAGCCAACGAAAAAAATTCATTCTTAAAAAAAAAAATTTGCGATGAAGTTTTACTTATCTGTAAAATATCTTCAAATCCAAGAGAAATAACTAAAGTTTTTGGATTCAAATAAACAAGAAAAGGAAGCCGCAGTAAAATTGGAATTGAATCATTTCATTTTACGAATTAGTTTACAAATTCAATTTATTCTTTGAAAATCGATAGATAAAGTGAATTATTTTCTGAATACAGAGACGATTAATTAAACAAGAATTGATGCAATTATCCAGGAGTGATGCAGACCCAGTTTTCCAATCCTGTCACGACAGAAAATAATAATCAAAATGTTGAGAATCTCGATAACGATTCAACTTCCCACTGAATGCATCAAAGTGACCTGGTTTTCCATTGTAGATACTTCCACTCTGTTAATACGAAAATACTTGATAGACGTTGTACCTATACACTGCAATTGTTCCCTTGTTTTCCATCCCCGGAGCAAAATGTGAGAGTATCGGAAAAAGACTGAGACTATAATCAGAATCAAAACACCAGCACAAAAGATTAATCATGCAGCACTCGCTGAATTTTCTCTTTGATCTTTTTTCGATAAATTCCATCGGAGGAGTGAGAGCCGGGGATTTAAATGTATTTTCGTTGAAAAGCTGGGGGAATTTCCGGCGAAAAATACAGACTGGAGATCCATTTGAGTCCACTCTGTGAGGAGATGCAATAAAACAATCAGGGGAGAAGTGATAGAAGGGAATAAATCGACTGGAAGTCACGATTTTCGTTTGATATTTCGAAAACTAGCGAAATCCTTGTGAAATTTCCTTTTGTGGAGCGATCCTGTTTGACATATTTTTCCCGTACCATTTTTCCTCAGGAATACGGGAAAAACGAAGAAAATATCCCAGCTGATCTCCAATGAGACCATTTTCAAATACCCCTCAAGGTCCGCAGACCCAATAGTCCACCCCCGAACACTTGAAAATCCACGAGAATGTCGAACGTTCGAAGACAGGTTTTCCCGGGAAAAACCAGGAGAATGTCCCCTGGAGAATAGAGAGAAGGTTATCAAGGTGCAGAACATTCTCTATTCATACCTTCAATAACTAGAGCAGATAAATGGGTCGTCAGGGTGACTTTGCAACCGGAAATTTCCCCAGCTGCTCCACAACAATATCTCAAGTCTTCTTTCTTTCCCAACTCGCTCGAGAACGGAAGAGCCATCCCCCAAACTTCACGTCCTCATCGCACTCCCCTGCACAAGACATTCATAAATTTTTTCATTCCCATCTGCTGAACTGAATTGTCCACAACTTCCACCGAAGTTAATTTTGCGCAATAAGTTTATTATGGAATTATCTGGAGAATGAGTCATCTGAGGAGAAAATATCGAAATACATTTTTTGTGGGGAATTTGATTCTCTAGAAAAAATATCCTCTGATGATTTTCCCTAGAATCACTCGATTTACGGATATTTTAATAAATTAACAAAGACATTTTCGAATCGAGGGAATAGTTGAGTTTTTGATGAATACTTCCGAATCTAAGGGAGATAGCGAAATTTTCGTGATCACATTTGTTGTAGCTCTCAATCGGCTCTACAAAAAAGGTTATAATAAAAATTTTGCTATCTCCCTTAGATTCCGAGATATTCATTGAAAACTGGTCAATAATCAAAATTGGCTGCGTGAGACTCAACAAGTTTGGCCTCATTTTCGAGATATGTTTTCACGTCCAATCCCCTCATATTCCTCCTAATCCAATCCCACCATTAAAAGATCATAAACAACCCCCGGAAGTTCTAATTCTATTTAATTTCATAATTTCGGTCGTCGTTACTCCCCAAGAAATTCACGTAAAATCGCAATTTCCAGATGAATGTCCAAACAGTGGCGAAGACAGTGACGAGGACGTAGTGACAGACTACCTGAACTCAGAGCACACAGACTGCAGTCATGCATCAGCTGTTAACGGTGAACTAGTTGGCTCGACAATTGATGGAACCCATCACCAATCAGCTGATTATACCAAAGATAACAACGTCGATATGGCAATGTCAGAGGGTGGTGATGACCGACGCAACCCATCTTCCCTTGGTATCACCAGGAGTCAGCAGAATCCCCTTGTTCCAACGATCAGTGTGACCCCACACTCCCCAGGACTGGCCAAGCACTACCCAGTGCTGGAGGACAATCTCCAGCAGTTGAACGAGATTCACAACAGCATCCAACGTATGCGTGACCTGACTGTCTGCACTGTGGGCTACAGGCTGCTGTCCCAGGCGGAGAATCTCCAGAGACTGAGTTCATCGTGCCCATCGCTGGGACCACTGGGGAGAGCTGCCACTGGGGACAGGGCGCCTGGCTCTGATCCTGATCTGGCCAATTGCTCCACCAACAGTTCACCCACTCATTTTCCACAAGGACAGCTGCCACCAGGCATGCTGGGAGTCGACAGGAGGCGAAGCTGGACTGATCTTGAGGAGAGCAGGCAGAATCGACACAGGTGTGGAGTCCAGAATCATCTGCAGGCGCAGAATATGGTGAGTAATTGGTTGCACATCCCTAGATTCGCCCACGACAAATCTTCTGCTGTCGAATCTTTCGCTAGTTTCAGCTTCATTTAATTTACGAAGTCAATTTATTCCGGGAAAATCGATAGGGTGAATTATTTTATGAATACAGTGACGATTCATTGAACAAGAATTGATGCAATTATTCAGGAATGATGCAGACCCAGTTTTCCAATCCTGCCACAATAGACAATCATTAGATTATCAATGATCAAATTAATAGCCAACGAAAAAATTCATTCTTCACAACAAAATATTTGCGGGGAAGCCTTAAATCCAAGAGAAATAACCAAAGTTTTTGGATTCGAATAAACGGGAAAAAGAAGCTTCAGTAAAATTGGAATTGAATCATTTTACTTTATGAATGCAGTGATGATTCATTAAACAAGAATTGATGCAATTATTCACTAGTGCTGGAGGACTGGTAATTGTTTTTTTGGTTGGGGTTTTTGCAGTTCTTGAGGAATATTTTTTGGAGTTGTTGAGACGTTTTTTAAAGGATCTTCTTTCGAAGGAAAATGATCAGTATTTTTTTCTACTTTTTTTGATTGCACAATCATAATTTTAGGGACTCCTGCGTGATGTAAAATCCTATGGAAATTGTGATATATTTTACGTTATGAAGATGGAAAAACATTCGAGATACTGTTCGAAAGATAATCCACCCGAGCCTTAAGGAAAAAAAAACTATTGTGAAGACCTTTTTTGAAAATAAAATGAGAGCTGCAAGAAAAATATTAAAAATTCATCTCCTCTGCATTCAGAAATATTTATTTAAAAAAAAACTGCTGGGTCGATTTTATCTCGTATTACGTCTTCGCATTTAATATTTCTGCTAATTAGGTGTCTATCTCAAGAACTTCTCCAGATTAATTTTTTTATGGGCGAGAAATTTGTTAAGCGAGGAATTCCTTGATAAGAAAGGTCGCAGGGTGGCTCCCATTCAGGGAGAAAGGATGTCTTCCACTCCATAATTGAAGAGCATTTGAGGTAGAGGAGTTGGGGTAATTTAATTCCGACTCGGTGGTTTTTTTAAGAGAATTCAGGTGTCACTTGGAGTTTCCTTCCACCCACGCGTTGTATCTCTGAATTTTTTATCAGTTAATTTCCATATTCAATGGCGCAGGCAACTGAAGGAATTGTAAATAATCGAGAATAGCGAAATAATATTTCGGAGTACACATCACCCTTCCGCAAGCGAAAATCAATCGTGCACGGACGTGTCGACCTTAGCCTTTTTCATGCAATCAATTATTCATAAAATAGGGCATACGACAGGGCTGGGGAAGTTAATTTAATGGGGAAGTGCTGGAACGTCGTAAATCAAATCTGTCATTTTTTTTTAATTTCTTGTTTCAGAGAATTCACTTTCACATTTCCTGATTTCATTCATTTTTACATTTATTTCGCATTCAGAACATGCAAATTGTGCATTTGATCTAAAAAATTATTGATTCTAGAAGAAAAAATGTGGAAATGAATTTCCAACAAAAAATGACTTGAAATTTTCCCCTAAATTTATTGCGACACGTGAAAAAAGAATTGTTTGATCCAAAATTCCTTCAACAATCTCGACTACTCTTTCCTTAATCGATTTTCACTACAAACTATCCGTCCTCCATAGAAAAGCTTGCAGAAGCCAGTGAAATGCCTGTGATGTAGAAAAAAAAATTGCACAGCACATGTTTGCAAACCCCCGAGACAAGTAAAACGAAAATAATTCGCATTAATTCACAGAGCAATGAGGGCTGCCCTCAAAAGTCCTTCAGTCCCCCGGGAGTAACTGATCTAACGATTTTTTCGGCGATTGATAAAAATAAACTCATGATTTTTCATTTCTAACAAAAATGACTAATAGAGGAAAAAGTGATGTCTCAGTGTTTAGAAACGGAAGCCTGTCTTTCCTGTTATGTTTATATATATCTCATGCATTACGATTCCTCGTCTCCGGCTCAATCGTAACTACACGAGTAAAAAAAACAATTAATAAATCATGACTGATGGTGATCCCTGGGGTTTGCCAGTGAATTCCCTTCGGTTTTATGGACTGGAAGGATTATTTCGTCGATTCAGCCGAATAAAGTGAAGGATTATGCACAGTTTCATAGCTCAGTGATGCCTTTGTGACAGCGAGAATTGAATTTCAAGTGAAAATGGTGAAAATCACAGTTGAACGCTTTTAATATTAAACTCTCATTAATTATTCCTGTTCATTAAATATCGATCAGTCAGGATTAAATTCATGTTCCATGAGTCTGACGAGCGTTATTGATTACAACATGAGAAAGAGGAGGGAATCCTCGATAACCTAGGTCATTTTCGGAAAAAATCTTCTACATTAGAATTAAAAAAATTAATTTTCAAAAATAACGACATTTTGAACTAAATTTCTATCTTGACAGCCATGATTACCCTCATTTACTCAGCAATTATCTCGATATACGGGATAATTAACTCCTAATTAGGAGACATTCTTCGAAAATCTATTGTGAACTGAAATTGCGTGATTTAATTTAAACGCTTACTCACTGAAATTGAATGACTATTTGATAATTGCATATTTAATGGGAAAATATACATAATCATTATGATTTTTCATTCTCAGCGACAGCGAAGTATCAGCCTAAGTAGCCTTGACAGTGAAATGGACCTCGAAATTGATGGTAAATCGACATCAGCATGTGCTAGTGTGGCAAATCGCTCCTGTAGATCTCAAACCAGCACTCACTCGCTCAATGAAGCTGACTTTGTTCAGGTAAATCATAAAACCCTAATTTACTTGATAACAGTCCGCTGTATGATTATTTTTACCGAACAACGTCAACAGATTTCCCTTTTCAAAGCAGAAAATTCTCTACGAAAAAAATTTCTTCTCGTTTTCCCAATGAACAAATCCTTTTTTTTATAATTCAGAATATGATCCGTGAAAAAATCCTCATTCACCAAATATTCGTGTTTACCTCGAATTAATCTCCATCATCAATCATTTTTTTAAATAAAAAATTGAGGAAAATGCACTGTGGAAACATTTCAGATTGACCCACACAAATCAGCAGTGAAACGAGTAAGCCAAAGACTAACAGAGACTGTGAACCTGTTGCCGGGAGTGACAGGATCACGTTTACCACTCCAGAAATCCATCTCCACTCCATCAATCATCGGTCCACCAGGGCAAGCACCTCTAGAGGGAACAAGGACAACGCCTTCTCTAGCCACGTAAGTTGACATTAAATCCAATGACAGATTTTTATTTCATATATCTATGGGTTTGCTGTGCCTAATTCGCTATTGATACGAATTTTATCTACATTTTTTAGAGGATGAAGTCAGTAGTGAAGTGGTGAAATGAATGATTCAATTTTTTATATTTTTAAATGTTGCATTATCTCTGGGAGGAATTTTTTCGTTGGAAATGTCATTTTTTAGCAAAATCCTTTTCAATATTTTCTCCTGGATCCTCTCATCCTCGAGATAAATCACTAATTATTAAAACGATTTCGCTACTGCAACAAAATATTAATCACGATTCCATAGTTTGTCGCACAGCTAGACTTTGGCATGTCAGTATGCAGAAAAGCAAACTACAACTCACTATAATCACTAAAGAAACAAGTAAATCTATCCAAAGCTGCTGATGAAATCTACAGTCTTTATTATTTATGAAGCCAGTAGTGAAGTGGCAAAATTAATAATTCAATTTTTTATATTTATAAATGTTGCATTATCTCTGGGAGGAATTTTTTCGTTGGAAATGTCATTTTTTAGAAAAATCCTTTTCAATATTTTTCCCTGGATCCTTTCATTCTCGAGATAAATCACTAATTATTAAAACGATTTCGCTACTGCAACAAAATATTAATCACGATTCCACAGTTTGTCGCACAGCTAGTCTTTGGCATGTCAGTATGCAGAAAAGCAAACTACAACTCACTATAATCACCAAAGAAACAAGTAAAATTAGCCAAAGCTGCTGATGAAATCTACAGTCTTCATTATTTATGAAGTCAGTAGTGAAGTGGCAAAATTAATAATTCAATTTTTTATATTTTTAAATGTTGCATTATCTCTGGGAGGAATTTTTTCGTTGGAAATGTCATTTTTTAGAAAAATCCTTTTCAATATTTTTCCCTGGATCCTTTCATTCTCGAGATAAATCACTAATTATTAAAACGATTTCGCTACTGCAACAAAATATTAATCACGATTCCACAGTTTGTCGCACAGCTAGTCTTTGGCATGTCAGTATGCAGAAAAGCAAAGTACAACTCACTATAATCACCAAAGAAACAAGTAAAACTAGCCAAAGCTGCTGATGAAATCTACAGTCTTCATTATTTATGAAGCCAGTAGTGACGTGGCAAAATGAATAATTTAATAATTCAATTATTCATCTTTTTAAATGTTGGGAATTTGATTTTCCACAAAAATCCTCTTCAACATTTTCCCCTGGACCCACTCATTTTCGACGCAAATAACTAATTATTAAAACGACTTCGCTACTGCAACAAAATATTAATCACAATACCACAGTTTGTCGCACAGCTAGAGTCTTTGGCATGTCAGTATGCAATAAAATAGACTAAAACTCACGACAGCAACTCACTATAATCACCAATGAAACAAGTAAAACTAGCCAAAGCTGCCGATGAAATCGGCAATGTCTTCATTATTTATCTCTGTACATTAATTCACCAAAAAGAAATTTAGTGAAAAATAGTATGTATGTGATTTGTGTGTGTATTGCACTGAAAAATTTTGCAACAATCGTGCATGACAGCAGAAGACACGAACCAAACGAGAAAGGTAGTGGAAGTGAAACTGAGACCGAGGATCCACCCCACAGTCATGCATATCATGGTGATATTATTCGTGAGGGTTCCCTCAATGCCCAAACTTCCCTCGACGAGCTCATGACCGAGTGAGTACCCTAGATATTTCAATGATATACATTTCGTCATCTTGGAAATGGTCAGTTCAATCACCCAAATATCTCAGTGTTATTTATTTCATCTCTCGATATTTATGTTTAGGCTTTTGTTAAGCATAATGAGGGCTTAATGCTTGCAATTTTTCATTACTCCATTTGAATTTGAAATAAATCGGCCATTTATTTTGGATATTTACCACGGAATATTCGTGATTACAGTGGAGCGGTGTACGATGATCATCACTCGGAGAAAACCCGGAGAAAGCGGGGATCGTTGTTCTTCAGGAAGAAAAAGGTGTGTTCTGTTTTAATGGATTTATCATTGTTTTATCAGAGAATGGACGTTCATTTAAAGGGTATTTTTAGATCCTTTGTCACTCTAATACACCTGAGGGATTCATCAATATTATTATTTTTATCGTTTTGTTCTCTCTCGACGACTCATCAACAATTTTTTTTCCCCTTTTCATTTGCCATTTTGTTTTGGCCTGTATTTAGTTATTTTATTCAGTGCATTTTCTGTACAGGATAAGAGTGGTAAGAAGCCTAGTCAACAGACTCACCACTGGGTGGCAATGAGTGTCCAGGGAAATTACGTTTGTGATTATTGCATGAAACAGTTTGGAAATAAATCAGTTCTGCACTGTGAGAGTGAGTACAAATCACTTGAAACATCTCAATTTTACTTGAAGTTTTAGAAATTGGCTTGAGATTCTTTCGAGGAAATGATTTCACCGATTTGTTGATGTAATTGAATTATTATCCACTCGACAGTCTGTGGAGTAATGGTTCACCAGAACCAGTCATGCAAGGACCAGATGCCAAGCGATTGTGTCAAGTCGAAGAATAACTCCCACAAGGGCTCTACAAAGTCAATGTCAAGTGTGTCAATAGTGACGAGCAGTGGGCACGTCAAGAGGGGCTCCACTGTCTCATTACCCCCGTCAAGTTCAACCGGTACAAACAGGTGAGTTTTTGCAATTAAATTGAGAAAAACATTGACTTTTTAACAATTATACGATTAATATATTGCATCGAGTCTTCGTGTCTATGGTCCAAGTCTCGCACGCTGCCGACGCACGGCCAGAAGGAAGCTCGGAGTTTTAAACATAAAGAAAAACTGAATAAAAAATTCAATCGTTTTTTTCACGTTAAAAAAAATTCATCGACTTTGACAAGTTCACGAAAAAATTAATTGTTTTTTCGTTGTGAAGTCAATTTGTGCTGAATATTGTCAAAATCTCAGGGAAATAAGGAAATAATGAATATGAAAATGAGAATTTTCCATCGAAATTCTTTCATTTTCAATAGATTTCAAGATTTTGAGAATTTTTGAAGAATTGACTCGTATTCCCGCCCTTTTGCAACTGAATTTCAGTGAGGGAATTCATTTATCAATCACTCCGAGGCTCAGGCTGGCTCAGGAGCTTTTACCAACATTAATTTTTACCAATTTTTGCAAGATGAAATTAATAGAGCGGCAGATATTTACATAATTATTTATTAATTTATTAATCGTCCTTGTGTAGTTGCGTGTAGCCAGGTCTATGGTGCTTTTGAAATATCGCGTTACTCAGACAATTCAATTACATCATTACTCTCGTTATTTTTGGCTGGATATATTCACATGAGTTCAGACTAGAGCTACACTAATTAAAAAATATGGGATTATGGTGCAGGAAGGGAAAATGTGGAATAGGGAGCTTGCATGGAGCTGTTTTTTTCATTCTCCTATATGTGCATTCAGGTGAATATCAAAATATAAAGAAGTATTGGGGCATATGTTCGACATAATTTAGAATAATTGATTAAAAATCTTGAAAAATTGCACTTTTTGAAGAAAATCTGTTCTATTGGGGTTTTAATCACAAAATTAAATAACAAAATCAAGAAAACCTCATGCAAGTTCCATATCGAGTGCAATTGAATGAACGAAAATGACCGAATGGGGTAAAATCATTCAAAACGAAACGAAAGAAAAATAAAATGCGTCAAGTTACGCTAATGCAGTGTGTGCTTTCTCCTTCCTCCGTGCATTCCCTCCCGATTGCCAACTGTATTCGATATCAACGGTAAAAGGGAAATTAGCAACAAGAAAACGGTGACAAACTACAGCCCTTGGCGGCGTGTCGCCACAAAGCTCGGAGTCAAGTAAGTCGTCCCAAAATAATAATCACAAAATTGTGTCTATTCTCGTTATTATTATTTTTTTCTACTGTCGATACATAGGTTCTTATCCATCACGTGTAATCAGTTATTACTGTTGATTCTAACTGTGTTCTGAGATGATATTTCAATGAATCTACTCAACTCGTCGTGGAATTGGTGTTGCTAGTTGTTTATTTGTTTTCCATTATTTTTTGTTGTAACAGGGAACTGATGGGAATTATTGTGAATTAAATGGTGAAGTGATGAGACAGAATCTGTCAACTTCACGCGAAGATCAATTTTTGGAAAATATTTCTGAGGTTTTCTGCAAAACTGATCTTTAGGTGAAATTAACTCATCGCAACAGAATTAAAAAATATTACAAGCCCTCAATTCTTCTCATTTCTTCCAACAAAATGTTCACTCTGTCATCCGCACAACATCGTCAGGATGGAGACCGATCTGAATTGGCACTTGATGTTTATATTGAGCGATTTAAACGATAGAAATGATATAAAATATGTCCTGCCCTGCCTGAGCTTGAGAACCACCTGCTTGTTTCGTTAATTTGTTGCAATTTCACTATTATTATTTTTATTATTCGTTCACTACTTTACGTACTAGTCGAACTGTCCGTTCAATACTCTAGTGAAAGGGTGATTGAGCCTCTGAGGACGACAACTGCTTTGCTTTGCTTAATTCGTGTATTTTTCCTCAATTTTGTGTTGCACTTTTCGATAAAATTTGGGAATCTCCCAGTGATATGTTTAAGTGGTACCGTGTGCCGACACTAATGGGACGTATGTGTGAACGATTGAAGTGATTTTATGATTGACTGTGGCGGTCAAGTGGAGCTTGACTGTTAATGAAAAGACATTGGTGAGGAAAGACTCACGTGGATGAATGCTTTTTAGGAAGGGAGGCACCAAGTTTATTAGTTTTTAGGAAATTAATCAGGTTTTCTCGAGGTGAGGAGAGGATATTCACGCTGAGAGTTTTTTTTTTACAGCCAATCGATCAGCGAGGAGAAGGATGGCGAAGGACAACGTGATATTGTCAGGTAATTTGATTTTTCGTGTTGTAAACATTTCATTAATGTTTGAAAGCACTCGGGGGGAAGGCAAATTCGATAATGCATGTGACCTTTTCATGAATTTTCGGGGGAAAATTGGTGATTCGATAGGGAAATTTCCTCTTGTAGTATTTCATCGTAGACTTTGAAATTATTGGCTGAAATATTTGATACACTTCTTGGATATTTTTATCACATGGTAGCGGTACACTGGAATTTCAAGGAATTTCGTAATTGAAAATTCAGAATTTCAGGGAAGAATGAATGGAAACTGCAAATTTCAGTTCAATTGTCTCACAGAAATAATTGGGTAATGCAATTCAGTAGTGAAGCGGTAAAAGGGTTCAAGTTTTTGAGGAATATCTCTGAATTTAGGGAAAATAACGGAATCCATGTCTTTTCAACTGCTCAGATTTAAATACACGCCAAAAGGATTAAATTATTATTAATTATTGTCGTTAATTGAAATGTCAACAATTCAAACAAAATATTAAAGCACGAAAAATCCTTTAAAAAACAACTATTAGTCCTAAATTATTGATCTCTCATAATTGTTAATATAAAAACAAATTGAATCTTTGTACGATATTAATCATTAATGTCTTGGTTCAGTGGTTAAATTGAGTTGCATTACGTTGTCTGTTGAAAATCAAAGAATAGTAAAAAATGAAAATTGAAAAAATTTCGGCTAATTCCTAAAAATATAGTAATTTCGAAAAGACGCCCCCAAATAACGAAATTTTCATAATGACCTTTTTTGTCCCCTCAATTCGCTCAACAAAAAAGTCTGAACCAGAATTTTGCTGCCCCCTTTAGATTCCGAGATATTCATCGAAAGCTGGCCAATAATGAAAGTCAACTTGAAGCACTTTTCCGCTTCTGAATTTTCATCCCAACAGGATTTAGCGAAATGCTTCAGCTCATCAATCCCCCGAAAATGGCCACTCACCTCCCCCCAAAATTGGAATTATCTCCAGGCCCCTGAAACCGCCAAATGACGCACCCCCACAATTATCTTCCAGCGGCTGGGAGGAATTTGACTTCGGTGACGACGTTCACCAACTGTCAGTCGGTGACATCGAGGGCCTAGACCCCGAGCTCGGTCTCGGCAGTGACGAGCCCGACTCCTGGAGTGCGGCAATCGGTCGCAGTGACGCCCTGCGCCTGGTAAACGGCAATGACCGCGAAGTAAAACGCCAAGAGCACATCTACGAGTTCGTCCTGACCGAGAAGCACCACTGCCTGGTGCTCCTCGCGATGGAGCGAATATTCGCCGAGGGCCTCCGCCGTTACTTTCGTTTAACCCCACCCGACATTGAGCGCATGTTTCCGCGTCTCCGCGATCTCATCGACATTCACTTGAAATTTCTCCTCAAACTCCGCAAACGCCAGCGAGCAAATCTCGTTGTCCCCACCATCTCCGACATTTTGGTCGAGCAATTTTCTTACGAAACCGCGGCCCGCATGAAGAGCGCGTACGGTGAATTCTGCAGTCGTCACCGGGACGCTGTCGATTTCTACAAATACTACCTTCGAAACGACCCGCGCTTCTCCCGCTTCGTCCGCCAATGCCAGACGAATCCCCTCCTCAAAAAGAAGGGAATCCCCGAGTGCATTCTCTTCGTGACCCAACGCCTGACAAAGTACCCCCTCCTGGTGGAGCCACTGATCAAAACCTCCACGACAAACGACGAGAAAGACGACCTGCGCAAGGCCCTCGGCCTCGTCAAGGAGATCCTCGCCGACGTGGACGCCTGCGTCGCCAACAAAGAGCGCGAAGACCGAAAACTCGAGATCTACAATCGAATAGACGCCAAGTCCTTCGCCACCCACCGCGGCACCAAGTTCAAAAAGTCCGATCTAATGGCGTCAAATCGCGTCCTGAAGTTCGAGGGAAATGCCTACCTGATGCAGGGCCGCGCCAAGACAGTGCCTGTTGTCGTCGTTGTTCTGTCCGACATTCTGTTCTTCCTCGCGGAGACGCGCGACCAGAAGTACGCGTTCTTTGTACCTGAGAATAAAGCGGGCGTTGTGTCCCTGCAGAAGCTCTTGGTGCGTGAGAAAGCGGGTCAGGAGTCGCGTGGTATCTACCTGATCAGCAGCAATCCCAAAGTCCCGGAGATGTTTGAACTGAAGGTCCAGAAGCCGAAGGACAGGCAGATCTGGATCCAGTCGATCTGGGCGGCGGTGGAGTCTTGCCCACCGGAGAACGACTGCGAGGGCGACGGCTTCGACAGGGGAATGGGAATATCCAGTGATATATCGCGCTCGGGGAGTTCTGCCTCGTCAATGCTGACGGTTGACGAGCGCCAGAAAATCGCCAAGGCCAAGGAGACCCACATCCTGGGAATCGTCGGTGAACTCAGGAAAAAGGACACTGAGCAGGCCCTCCTCCTCGAGGAGAAGCTGGCGCTGCAGATGCGGCTGCTGTATGCAGCCAGTGTCTGCAGCGAGAACGACGACAACGAGAGCCGAGGGGACAAGGTGGAGAGGAGTGAGAAGGACGTTGATTACACGAGACTAGTGCGAAACGAGGGAACTGATTCAGCCCAACTGTGGCAGGAGGTTGTGGTGGCTGTGCAGGAGGTGACGAGACTGGCGAGTTCACTGTCCTTCAGTGCTGGGGGTGGATCGCTGTCCAGAAGTCTGAGTTCAGCTGGGGAGCGTCACAGCGAGGCCTACGTACCCCCGGCCCTGGCGGTTCCCAGGAGAGCGGAGACCTTCGCAGGGTTCGATCATAATAAGGAGAGGTACCCCTGGAGGGACTCGGCAGCGCTGCACTCGGTGATTCCTCCACCAAAGCCCTGCGATCTGCTGAAAGCGAGGGACAAAGCTGAGAGAACTGACGAGGAGGGCACGGAGATCAACAAGGATCAACAGCTAGCGGCGATAAGACTCTCCCATTACGTGTACACACTTCTATGCATAATAACCAATCAGATGACAACGATTGACAGCCTCCAAGCGCAGTTGAACGCCTCTAAGGACTGGTCTGGCTCATCAGGAATGGGAAAATCCACGAATCAGAAGGTGAACTCCAATCGTCAGCTGGAGGAGCTGCGCAATCTTCAGGATCAGTTGAGTCGGGAGAAGGCTGCGTTCAGGGCGATGACGCAGCAGGAGAAAATGCAGATGCAGGAGGAGAGGAATGAGTTGTCGAGGTTGAGGGAGCAGTTGGCGGCCGAGCAGAGGGATGTCACTCAGCAGAGGGATCAGTTGTACCGGAGGCTGGAGGCTTTGGAGAGACAGGGGGTCTCTCTGGTCGCTCCGTCCACCGCTAATCCTTCAGCTGCTGGCCATGGCCATGGCTCGCAGGGGGGTGACACTCTCCTCCAGAGGAAGTCCTTGCCAGATGCCAAGAGGATACCCCTGAATCTCATCAGTGCTACTAATCAGCAGAAAGCTCCAAGCAGTCTTCCTCCGGTTAAACAACAGCTTCCCCTCAAACTCGCCAGTGGTAGCAACAACAACAGCACGAGGCACAGCACAGGCACCAACAACAGCCCCGACAGGCACTCCAGGACTTCAAGCAGCCCTGCCACTGTCAATCCCTCCACGTACTCCTCACCGGAGCTTGGGAATCATAATAATGGAAATACTTGTCAGCTTAATCGATCATTGAGAATTAACAAGTCACCTCCTGAGTCGTTTCATCATCTACATCACTCGCAATCGCACTCCCATCCCCATTCTCATCATCAGGGACATCAGCGGGCGGAGGTATCAGCGCAGGCTCAACAGAGGGCCGAGCCACAACCGCCCCTCGAGGAGGAGGTCATCTTCTTCTGACGACTCTTTCGCTTTGGCCGAAAACCCACGCGTCCACCTAGAGCTGTTGACACTCCGACGTCGTCGGGCACTCCTGTCACCACTCCAACGCCATCCAGGAGTCAGTCGAAGGACTCGCAGAGCAGGAGTCGAGTCAAGTCGTTTTGACTTTCAGATTAGTGATGCTGGGGGAGGTATTTACGAAACCGAATTCAATAGAGTATTTCAATCGAGTATTAGGAGGCCATTTCAACGTGGCTGGCAGTAAATTAGTGCTCATCTTGTTGCTTACTCCGTTAATATTGTTGATGAAAATGATGAAATCGACTGAAAGTTCTATTATATTAACATTTTCACGTATCGCATTCACGTCAATATCTACGTACGTATGTGTATTCATTATCGGGGAGGTTTTCTTCAGAGGGCGGTTGGGAGTCGAGAGGAATCAGGAATCGGTCGGATAGATTTTTTTTAGAGGGACAGGATAGCCATTCCAATATTTTAAATTTCGGGGAAGTCCACGAAACCTAACCAACATGGGGGCGCGTCCGTCTGACCAATCGGAATGGAGCAGATAGAATTGGCGGGAAAAGGTATATTTTCGAGAGTGACAGGACAGCCATTTAAATATTTTAAATTTCGGGGAAGTCCACGAAATATAACCAACTTGGGGGCGCGTCCGTCTGACCAATCGGAATGGAGGAGATAGAATTGGCGGGAAAATCTTTCAACCGCTCTCACAAATTTCTGTCTGGACATTGGTGAAGTGGGAAGACAGGACAGATCCTCAATCTCAGAGATTGTGAATTTTTCGGTGGGAGCTAGAGGTTTTCTTCAGGACAGTCTTGCCATCGCCTTTGGATGCCAATAAATTTTCCTGTTCTATCGAATCACTACTAGATTACACAGCTCCCGGAGCGAAGTCGACGGGAAATTGTATGTATGTGCTTTTTCATTATTCGAGGACATCCAGATGTCCTCAGGGATGATTGTATAACCATTTTTGTATATAATGATGCAGTGTGCATTAATTTCTGGTGATTAGGATTTTTTTTTGGGGAAAACACGATTTCGTAGGGAAGTTGTGAAAAGGACGAATCAATTCAATTTCTTATCACGAGAAATTGAGAATTGTCTCCTGTTTTGCCACTTCACTACTGAACTATTTAATTATTTGATTAATCAAGGGTATGAGGACGCTCATGGGTGATTATTTTTCGAAAATAAGAGACAGTATTAATGCAATGCACACTGCTTATAATATAAGTGAGGCACTCTTGATTCTACGATAAATGCCCACCTGAGGTGACTATTTTTTAGTTTCCTTAATTTTAATTAATGATAAAACGATGCATTTAATGGAAAGACTTAATATTATTGACAATCGAATCTAATCCGGAAATTAAAAGTTTTATGATATCTCAATTTTAACGAGTGTCTCACGTTTTACGTAATCAATCAGTATCGACAGACTTTTCGTAAATGAATTCAACGCATATTGTAGTTGTGCGGTGAAAAATACTAGCTGACTTTTCATTACTGGTACTTTAATCCAGAAAAGCATAGGGAGAGCATTCATTAGATTGATGAGGAGTCTGATAATGGCAATGATCGTGCCTCGAATTATCTTTTAGTTCGTGCATTTTTATTGAGTTTAAGGCAAGTTTGAACATTCCTTTTGCATTAATTTTCGTATAATTCCAACATTTATTTGGGAATTCCCTGGAAAATGATGAAAGGCTGGATTATCCACTGCCATTGTTGTTATTTAACTTTTTTTTTTCAACTTGACACACAGAAATTGTACGATAAATTTGTTGAAATAATTGTTTTTTTTATAAACGAAAATTATGAAATTTCTAGGGCTGAGTGGGGGGATGAGTTCGGTGGTTGCAGAGTTGCTTGCCCTTTTCGAAGCTTTTGTTTTGATTCAGAAAGAAGGTCCTCACAAAAATCAATGATTGAACTCATCTCTCAATAGGGAGCTTGCATGGAGTTCTGTTTTCCCTAATTTCAATATTTACCCATTCTACATAATCCGTAGATAGCTAAACGGAAATAATTATGGAGAAATATTGCCTAGGTATTTTATAATAATTCAGTAGCCAAGTGGTGAAATGGCTCAAGTCAACTTTGACTATTGGACAGTTTTCAATGGATATCTTGGAATCTGAGGGAGATAGCAAAATTTTTGTTATAACCTTTTTTGTAGAGCTGATTAAGAGCTACAACAAATGTAATCACGAAAATTTCGCTATCTCCCTTAGATTCGGAAATATTCCGCAAAAACTCAGCTGGGCGATGAGTTGACTTAAACAGTGATTAATAATAATTACTATTAATTATTATCAATAATTAAATTAATTATTATTATTAATAATGATTAATTAACGAGCAATTCTTCGAAAGTTTATAAATCGAAGCTTAATTTTTTTCCGCCGAAACTTGAGATTAAAAAATTCAAAAAAATTGATGCAAGTTCCCTATTTCACTTGATAAAAAAAATCTCTATCTCCTTGACATTGTCATTGAAATAATTTCGTGATACGTTGATCTACGTGCCAGTGTGCAATATCAATAAAAAGATGATTTAAAACCGCGTGAGGCGAGAAGGCCAACTAAGTAATGAAGTGAAACGAGTTGAATTCAATTGAAGTAAAATGAAAGAGGGGAAAATAAATTATTGCAAGAACACTTTATCCGCAAATCAATCGTGGCGACAATAGAATATACCGTTATACAGTAATCAATCGGTTTATAAAGAACCCTAATATATCGTGATATGGTGATCACTGGAAGAATGAAAATCAGGAGCGAAGTGGTGAACCTCAAGTCAAATTACGTTATTTGCAATTCTTCATTCATCTGGGGAACGAGTGTTTTCGGAAGAGAAAACATTGCGGAAAATATTTTTCAAAGAGAATTAAACAAATCTTGAATTTATTCATTTTAACATTAAATAAATAATAATTATTATTATTTAATAAATAATTTTAATTGAATAAATTCAATTAAATAAATCTTGAATAAATTATCTCGAATTATTTATCAAAGAAATCTTAAAATGAATAAATTCAAGATTTATTTAATGAATAAAAAACTTGAATTAATTTATTCATTTTAAAATTTATTTAATAAGTTGAATAAATCCCGAAATTTTGTGCTCAAGGCACTTGTTCCTCAGATAATTCAACATTTATAAGTAATTTTTTTCTCGGTTTTTCTACTTTACTTCTGCAATGAAAAAAAAAAGAAAAAAATATAAACATAAACCTCGTTGTTAACTCGCATTGTTGTGTGCACGTGAAGACATCCAAGTTCGTTAATAAATAATGATAAATAACTGCATTTAATGATTACTAATTTGTAAGTTTCGGAAGTAAGAAGTAATACTGAATAATTCAGGTAGAATGGGGCGAGTTATTTGGAGGCTAGAAAATCGTCCTTATAAATTGTAAAATAATTCATGATAATTCATAATGAGAGATGAATCATTCCAGTTTAGAATTAGCTCAAGGCTAATCTCTCTTGCGCTCATTGAGGACTTCGAATGAATTTCCATATGCCGCTTTATTATTTACTATTCTGTAAATCTTAGACTTAAACATACTGTGTTATGTCACGCTTCAGTGATGAAATGACGTTTGATATGTCGTCCTTTTATTCTACTATTGTTATGGGGAGAAAATGAGGTGAGGAAAATTGGAGGGGAAGTGGTGAAGAGTAAACGACGAAACAAATTCTCAAATCTGTTGATTGTCCACTTATCTCAGTGAAATTAATGCTTCCAGAAAGAAATATGAAACAAAAATAATTTTACAAATTCTCAAATTTATCTAATTGTCCGTTTGTTCGAACAACTATTCGTTTCAGAGAAAATGTCAGACGTTTTACATTTCACCACTTCACTCCGAAAATATATTATATATAAAGAAGAAAAAAATTCCTGAAATTCGACAAGAACTGTCGAAAACTGTTGACTTGATATCGAGTTCTATCGGCCTACCCAGCTCTGTTCAACTCCTCATTGTAATATCCTCTCGACTGTACTTCCTTGAAACAATCGCCACACTTCTCTGGGAACGACAAATGACAGATAATAATAATGTAAAAAGTGAATAATAGAGATGATCATTGAAAGATTAATTAGAATGGAGTTATATGAATGGATATTTCACGAATCAAGTATTTTTGTACGTTTACCTGTACTTTTCAAAAAAAAAATGTAACGGCGGAGACAAAAAGTAATAGCTGATACTTTAATCTATTGTTATTGTGATAACGGAGAAGTCGATAATCATCTGCGTTAATTTCATATCTTAATATTGAAATAATTATTGAAAGTGTCGGTAGTGGAGGGGTAACAGAATGTGAATTCCCCCTAACAATCAGTTTTTAAAAAACATTTCTTTTAAATTTTGAGATATTTATCAAAAACCCCTTGACTGCCGACCAATCCTCAATTTTTAATCCTCGCCCCCTCCCCCGCCTTTAATTACTTGTTTATTCTGCATGTTCCAATCTCAATTAATTTAAAAAAACAGACTGTACGTTTTTTTCTACGATTAATTTAACTATCCTAATTTGTTCTCCTCTTCAAAGACTTGTTGAATAATTCCCAGATCCAATCATCGAGAATTATCAATTGATTAAGTGTAATACCGATTGTTTCGCGATGCTGAGTGTTGGTGAACTTTTCCTCTTCCACTTTTTATACATAAAAGGAAAATAATGAAAAAAAAATATCATAGTAATCCAATGATATACAATTGAACCTGCGCCGACGATGCAGTTTTATAATATTTATTCCTGTTGAATCGTGTATAATGTTAAATCTAAACAAAAAAAAACTAATGCAAAATCATTCGTCGAGGTGATGATGGAAATGTGACAGATCATGAACGAAAAACCACGGCGATTTAATCGTAACAACTGTTCGAAACATTGAGAGTAATGTTTAAATTGAATATGAATAAATAAAAAAGAAAATCTGTAATCTCGAGTGCCGTTTACAGCTGACGGTTGCGCTATATTTTCTAATGGACTTACTACTTTATCTTATATTTCTTGTGAACCATTCGATGGATGGAGGATTTACAAAAAATACCTAAATGACACTACTTGAGGACATTCTATGTTTTTTATCATTATATTGTATCATCCACTGATTCATCGAAGAATAATTAGCTGCCTGATGACAAAAAAAGATAATATTTATTATTAATGTACATAAGACAACGGAAAAATGATGTTATTGTAATAAAATGGAATCAAGAGGGTAATATACGATTAATTAAATCTGCACATGAGTTTTTCATCACCCAATTATTTTATTTCATCTTCAATCATGATTTATTCATTACAAATTTAATTAGAAAAATAGGAAATATTGTACATTATTTGGGTTCGCCTTGGGGCAACAGTTCAACAATTTTCAATCATTTTCGATTTAGTATGGCTTCGTTCGATGCTTGTCTCGAGCACTGGACTTGCCATTGGATTTCACGAGGGATTTTCGGTCACTGTTTCCCTGGAGCAAATTCGCTTCATTCTCCTTCCAGAGGTTTATTATGCCCCCCTCGCCTCCAGTTATCAAGCAACCACTCTGTTTGTCGCAAAATTAATTAGTTATTCAACTCGATGAATTACTGAAAATTCATTTTACTTCGATTTAATTTTACCTTCGCATGATACCAGCTGTCTCTCACCAGTTGTTTATTCCCAGTGAAATCAGAACACCATTTCATGCCTTCAGAAGTGATGGTCAGTCCATGCAAATGCTCCCTGTGGATTGTTTATTCATAATTTTATTTCCAGTAACAACTCTATGAGTAGAGTTTTCATATGAAAATGAGGAAGGATACACTGAGAGAAAAACAAACACGTTGTCAAACAAGTCTTGTTTGGGCCAACAAAATCGCTAGTTGAAAATTGCCAAAAAATAATTTGTTTGGTTCGAATTTGAAAGGCTCAAACATGAATTATTGTTCTGCTTTCGACAGCAACGAAATATTTGGCTCAAGAGGTGGATAACTAAGATTTTTCAGCAGCAAAATACATATGGGAGTATCGAATAACGAAGGAGTAGTGCTAGAAAAGACATTTCTTGCGTCTACAGAGAACTCAATTTTTTTTGAACTACTAAATTTATTTTTGCGACAAAAATTTTTCATTCCGGCTCACTCTCGGCATGTTTGGCACAAAAAAATCCTTTTTTGATAATTTTCAAAAAACTATTTTCTTGGCACGAGTAAGACTTGCTTGAGAACTTTGTGGTTTTTCTCTCAGTGTAGTCTTTCAACGAATTCTTTTCAATCGGGGAAAATTGCTGACTGACCCTTTTATCGTGGAGCCTGTGAGTAGAAAGGGATCTCCAGAGCTGCTGCTCCTGTGCATCCTCACGAGGTAACAGCTGTCCTGATCCTCCTGCTGTTGCAAGAGTAGAACAAATATAAATATCAAAATGAATTAAAAATCATGGTTTAGGAGGTCTGGGGGGATATCTACCAGGAAATTAGCTGCTATGCTGGCTCGATCGTATTTTCCATAGGGTGTGGCGTCCTCACACTCCCAGAGCTGGAGACAATGAGTGTGGGTCGTGCACCAGATGTGGTCGTCTTCCAGCCAGCCTAGTCTATCCTTTTTCATTTGAAAATGAATTAATTAATTCAATTAATTAAATTAATGAAATGAATTGAAAGAATGAAATGAATGAAATTAATGAAATAAACGAAATGAATGAAATTAATTAAATTAATTAAATAAATGAAATGAATGAAATTAATTAATTAAGCTCCTCATTATTACCACTGACGACTCAGTGTTGAGTGAATAATTGAGTGCAGAGTCCTCTGATGACTGGGTGAGATCGAAGACATTGATCAGTCCATCAGTGCTGCCAGAAGCTAGGACATCGGCCTTGGTGGAGTGAAATGCCAACGACGTGACGTCGTCCATGTGGGACTCCCAGTACCCCCCGAGGAGGTCGTTCTTCCTGCTGTCTGATCTCGAGTTGTTGGGACTGTTGAACCTGATGTCCCAGAAGAGGATGAAGGCATCCCCACCGACGTGCTCAGTACCAGCTGCTATTAATTTGTCGTCGGAGCTTATGTCGAAGCTCGCTAGGGGCTTGAGTTTACTGTCCACTGATCCATCTAGGCACATGTGGGAGCTATTTCGTTAATAATCATCGATAATTTATTGACATTTGCATTTTTTTTCGTTGCATTACAGAATTGAGACTCTATGGGAAATAATCAAACGTTAATTCTGCTATTTCCTTCAAAATTAGAGATATTTATGGAAAATTAGATCTAGAATTCGTTAGTTCTATTTCTAGTTTTTTAGAAATATCTCGAATTCTGACGGGGATGTCAAAATTCTCGAGAGGACCTTTTTTGTCGAGTGTGCGTCGTACACCAGATGTAGTCGTCTTCCAGCCAACCTAGTCTATCCTTTTTCATTTAAAAATGAATAAATTAATTCAAATAATTAAATTAATGTAATTAATTTGATTGATTTAATTTATTTAATTAATTAAAAGCTCTTTGTTTTGATTGATTTAATTCATTTAATTAATTAATGAAATGAGCTAAACCAATCAAGTTAATTACATTCATTAAATTAATTAATTAATGAATTAAATTGAAATAGGTCTTTGTGTGAGCTATTTCCTTAATAACTATAATCAATAATAATTTATTCAAATTTGCATTTTTTGTTGCATTACAGATCTGAGACTATAAGAATTAGTCAAATATTAATTCTGCTATTTGCTTCCAAATTAGAGATATTTATGGAAAATTAGATCTAGAATTCGTCAATTCGATTTCTAGTTTTTTCGAAATATCTCGAATTCTGACGGAGATATCAAAATTCCTGTGAGGACCTTTTTTGTGGAGAAAATTGAGAGCTACAAAAAAGGTTTTCACAAAAAGTTTGCTATCAGCCTTACCCTCCGAGATATTCGCAAAAAACAAAAATCGTCAATTCAAAAAAAATAGTGAAAACGCAATTTTCACCATTTTCATCATGCAAAATCATCACCAGGGCAGTAATCATCAATTACCTCTCATCTCAGCCACAACTTTGCCCTTGGCCCTCAGGTCGCAGGCTGTTATGCTCCCGTCCCTCGTGGCAGTGTACAGAATATTCTTAGAACTAGGGCTAAACTTGATTCCAACAATGGGTGATGTATTGTTTTTCAACGACATCATCTTACTCAATCCCTCGTTCACACTGTAAACAACGCACGAGTAGTCTGACATACCTGCGCATAACCTGAACTCCGGCTCGCTGGAACGGAAAAAAGTCATCCCGAGGGTTTAAAAAACCTGGAGAAAGTGCTTTCAGTGGTTCTGACGGGGGGAAAACTCACTGCTGAGTGCCGCAGAGTGCGAGAACGTAATTGTCGTCCCCTGGAACGGAGTCCTCCATCGCCACGATCATTTCACACCGGTTCGTATGGTTTTTATCGCTATCACTCGTGTTGTGGGACTCACTGTCTCCATTTCTCTTTCTCATGGAGTCCACGATTCTCGGCATTTCGAGTGCTAATTGATAGTGAGGCGCGAGGTGTTTGGGAATTTGATTTATGGTGAGTGTCGATGAATCCCATGTGCTCGTGTTGTGATTTTCTAACAATATGACAGTATTTGGAGGTTATGGAGGGGAAAAGAGCCCGCGAAATTTGACCACCTCGCATTCGTGCCCTTCGGCTTCCGGAGAATCTCAGGGAGAAAAAAATATTCACTCAACTTCAGGTGAAAACTGCACTTTGGCTGTTTGAGGTGGCTGTTGAGGTGGATAATTGCATTTTTTTATAAATGAGGACGGCTATTGTTGCTAATAAATTGGCAGATTGCTTCAGAATGGGTTCACTTTTTTAAATTTTTATTTCACTGTTCTCTTCTTCTATTTTTTCACGTCACGAGATGGAATTACTGTAATTGATTTTATATGATTCATCACGTTATTATTGTAAGTTGATTAAAAATCAATATGTTATTAAACTTATACAAATTTCTGTAGTAATACTAAGGAGAAATTCGTGGGAAATGACGAAAACTTCTTTCGAAAATCCATGAATTTTTTTTATTGAAAAGGGATGGAGATTTCCATCGAGAATCAGTCGGAGATACGTCGAAATCCAGAAAAACTTCAATTGAGGATCAACACGTGTTCTGTTGGAAATGATGTTGGTATCGAAGAAAACGATGGAAAACCGTGAATATCTCGGATACTAAATACGATCAAGTCGGTTCCTTTTGTACAGACATAAATATAAATACCATTTACTCAAAGATATAACTCTTTGTGGACATAATTTTTGACTTTGGCGTTTTATCGGTGTTGTCTTGTGAAAAATTTCAATGGATCTCATGATCGAACTCTCGAAAAAGCTACATATAATTGTCCGTGATTGAAAAAATCTCTCTGTAGGTCTACAGCAGCATTACCAACATCAATATCATCAACATCATCAACCCCATGCATGCGATTTCTCGTTCAGACATTCAGGAATAAACGTGTGACATCTCCTGTTTTCATGCCAAAATCGAATTTTGTAAAAATATCAATTTCTTCGAAACTTTATGAATAATTTACTTTCAACTTGGCGTCAATGAATGGAGCTTATTGACGTGTACATTCGTAAAAAAATTGTATTGCGTCCATTCGGAAGCAATACACTTTAACAATTCGTTTAATCTCTCCTCGCGAATTATCCAATAGAATTGGAAGAAATAATGTTCTCTGTATGATGATAAAATTGTTATCGCTGTTTTCGAAGTTATCGGGGGCATGAATTAAGAAGATTTCTGCGTCGCCGTAACATCTGGGATAAGAGAGAAAATAAACATGTGAGCAGATTGCCTCAAAGCCAGTTGTGGATTATCTTTGGGAGCATGGCCTCCTCTCAGTGATTTCAATAATATTTCGTAGATTTGAGCACTTGCACTGTTGGCGAGTCGATTCACCGGGTGTGAAAATTGGAGTAAAGCCGGTTTTAGCGTCTGGTCTCGGGTAAATTGATACATCATCTAATATTTCAGAGTGGTGGAGTGAGTGGCCTCAAAGGGCATTCACTTGTTTGCGCACAGTATTGCAGGCTTACTGGCGAGATTCTAGTCTTCGGGTCCAGTATAACATAGTGGTGGGGGAATAAGAAGCGAAGGCGACAATCTCTCCCGGAGGGTCACTCTGTGGAGTGACAGTGGAGTATCGCAGATTGTTGAGAGTTGAATTCACTTTAAAAATTCAATTTTGAAGGATAATATTGTGGGAAGACATGGGAAAACCTCAGGAGGAAGGCGAGGAGGAACAGGGCCTGAGGGAACACCTGGGAGGTGATCAGCTATCGGAAGTCAGAGAATCTAATACGCTGGTTTTTTACGTTAATGGGAGGGAGGTAATTATGGTGCTGCTAGAGTGACCCACATCTGTCAGTAGAATGATATAGCTAAATGGAATGAGAATCTCTTATTTTTAGATAATCGACAACGACGTCGATCCAGAATGGACTCTCCTGTACTATCTGCGGAATAAATTGAATCTAATCGGAACAAAACTGGGGTGCGCGGAGGGCGGTTGCGGGGCGTGTACCGTGATGCTTTCGAAATTCGATCGTCAAAGACGAAAAATCCTGCACCTAGCGATCAACGCCTGCCTGGCGCCCGTCTGCAGTGTCCACGGTACATCGATAACAACTGTGGAAGGTATAGGCAGTACCAGAACTACCCTCCATCCCATTCAGGAGCGCCTGGCCAAGGCCCATGGTTCCCAATGTGGCTTCTGCACCCCGGGAATAATAATGTCAATGTACGCCCTGCTGAGATCAAAGCCCAAACCCTCGATGCACGACCTGGAACTGACGTTCCAGGGGAATCTCTGCAGGTGCACGGGATACCGTCCAATTATCGAGGGCCTGAGGACCTTCACTGAAGAGTGGGAGCAGTCTCAAATTGCTCAGCGCACATCTCACTCCACCGGCTCCGAGATGAGGCCCTGTGCAATGGGTGAGGCCTGTTGCAAACGCGCGTTCACATCGGAACCAACAGAAGTCTTCAATACCAAGGAATTCCGTCCGTACGATCCCACCCAGGAGATCATTTTCCCACCGCAATTAAAACTCTCCGATGTACTTGACAAAGAGTATTTGATAATCAGAGGGAAAGAAGTTACTTGGTATCGTCCGACGACTTTACGACAACTCCTAGTCCTCAAAAATCAGTTCCCCAACGCCAAGATCATTGTAGGTAACACAGAAGTTGGTGTGGAAGTTAAATTCAAGCACTCCAAGTACCCAATTCTAATTCAGACCAGGCAAATCCCTCAACTCGGAGATATCAACATCCACGATTCTCTGACGATCGGTGCGAGTGTTGCTCTGATGGAGTTGGAGGAATGCCTTACCGATCTCATCACCACAACTCCAGAATACAAAACAAGAATATTCAGAGGAATAATCGAAATGCTCCACTGGTTCGCAGGGAAGCAAGTTCGAAACGTTGCAGCAATCGGGGGAAACGTAATGACAGGAAGTCCAATTTCAGACTTGGTACCAATACTGATGGCTTCTGGAACGAAATTGAACCTCTGCAGTCTCAAAAACGGTCACAGGCAAGTTCCTATGGACCAGAATTTCTTCACTGGATACAGACGAAACATCGTCAGGCCCGAGGAGATCCTTCTATCTTTAGAAATCCCATTCACCCAAGAATCCCAGTACTTTGTTGCCTACAAACAGGCGAAGAGGAGGGACGACGACATCGCCATTGTCAACATGGCATTAAACGTGATTTTTAAGAGTGAAACCGATGAAATCACTGAAGCCCACTTGGCATACGGTGGAATGGCCCCAACGACGAGGCTCGCAGTGAAAACCTGTGAGCAAATGTTGGGAAAACGATGGAACTCAGATATGCTGGAATCGACCTACCGATCATTAATCGAGGAATTCCCATTGGAAGACTCTGCACCCGGAGGAATGATCCTCTACCGAAGGTCCCTGACGCTCAGTCTCTTCTTCAAGGGGTTCATTCACATTACAAAGCAGTTACAGCGCGATGTCCCTGGACTTGCGCCAATCCCGAAGGAATTATCCTCAGTGGATGGAACATATCGTTGCAAATCCTTCAAAAGTTCGCAGTACTACCAGATTGCCCCTGACCGCTCAGACCCGAAGGATTTGATCGGACGACCGATCGTCCACACCAGTGCCTTCAAGCAAACCACTGGAGAAGCATTGTACTGCGACGACATTCCGAGGATCGACGGAGAGCTATACTTGGCTCTAGTTCTGTCCACAAGGCCCCACGCAAAAATCGTCCGCGTTGACGCCTCCAAAGCTCTGGCACTCGAGGGCGTCATTAGATTCTTCTGCGCTGAAAATATTCCGGAAGACAGAAAATGGGTTGGACCCATTGTGAAGGACGAAGAGGTACCCGCATGGAAAAATTTATATTTTGAATAATATATTTAAAAATATCATAAATTGGCCCAATTTATATATTCTTCATAAATTTGGAAAATTAATTAATTAAAAAAAAATCGAAAAATTCTAAGACAATGAAAATTCAGAGAGAAAAAAAATTCCGCACCGTCCAGCCGGGATTCGAGACCCGGGCGAGCGGAAAAAAAACCGGCATTGAAAAAAAAAAATTAAAATTAATTAATTATGAAGAATATATAAAAAAATTAATTAATTGATTAATTTTTTATACATTCCTTATAAATTTGAGAAATATATGGAATTGGCCCATATTATATATTTTTGGAATATATTTTTTGATGGGGTATGTGAGATGACCTCAGCTAGAAGCAACCGAGGGTAATCATTTCAACGTGCAATAATCTATTTCCATTGCTCTTCAGGTCTTCGCCACGAAAGTAACGAGTCAGGGTCAACCGATTGGTGCAATAATCGCTGTAAACCAAGTGACAGCCCAAAAAGCGTCGCGACTAGTGGAGGTTCACTACGAAGACCTAACGCCTGTGATCATAAGCATTGAGGATGCCATAGCGTCGAAATCCTTCATCGCCCCGTCCCCCATGAGGATCCAGAATGGAGATATAAATCAAGCCCTTGCGGAATCCGATCACATTCTCGACGGGGAGTTCAGAATAGGCGGCCAGGAGCACTTTTACCTCGAGACTCAGTCGGTTCTGGCTGTCCCCAAGGAGATCGACGATCTCGAAATCACCTGCAGCACGCAAGACCCAAGTCAACTCCAGAGATTGACTGCCCAGGTCCTCGGAGTCCCGTTGAACCGAGTGAATATCCGAGTGAAACGTATGGGAGGTGGCTTTGGGGGCAAGGAGACCAAGGGGAAATTGATTGCGATACCAGCGGCTCTTGCAGCCCACGAACTCCAGAGGCCCGTTCGTTGCATGCTCGATCGAGACGAGGACATGATGATCACCGGGGGAAGGAATCCCTTCCTGTGTAAATACAAGGTCGGCTTCACCAAGGGGGGCCTCGTGAAAGGGCTGAAGGTCGAGTTTTTCATGAACGCTGGACACTCCAGGGATTATTCGCCCGAGGTGATGCAGAGGGCGATCCACCACTGCGAGAATGCCTACAAGTTCCCAGCGATTGATGCCACAGGATGGGTCTGCAGGACCAATCTCCCCTCGAACACAGCTTTCCGGGCCTTTGGGGGACCCCAGGGGATGCTGGTAGCTGAAAACATCATCTGGGATGTTGCCAATTTCTTGGGGCTGCGGGTGGATAAAGTCTCTGAGATGAATTTGTACAAGGAGAACGATGTCACTCATTACCATCAGAAGCTCCTGCGGTGTTCCTTGGATCGCTGCTGGCAACAGTGTATTCTCCAGTCGGATTATGAGGCCAGAAGAGCCAGGGTGGAGGCATTCAATCGAGGGAATCGATACAGGAAGCGAGGAATCGCTGTTATACCCACGAAATTTGGTGTTGGGTACAGTCTGGGATTTTTGAATCAAGCTGGAGCACTGGTTCACGTTTACACTGACGGCTCGGTGCTCATCACTCATGGAGGGGCTGAAATGGGCCAGGGGCTGCACACGAAGATGATTCAGGTTGCGAGCAGGGTTTTGAGGGTTCATCCTGATAAAATTCACATCTCTGAAACTGCGACTGACAAGGTGCCGAATACTACAGCTACTGCTGCCAGCGTTGCTTCGGATTTGAATGGAATGGCTGTCCTGAATGCCTGCACTACTATTGTGGAGCGGATCAAGCATATTACCGATGGCAGTCCTGGGGGGAGTTGGGAGGAATGGATCTCGAAGGCGTATCTCGAGAGGATTAGTTTGAGTGCAACTGGATATTATCGAACTCCCGACGTTGGCTACGACTTTGAGACGAATTCTGGAATGCCTTACAATTATTTCTCGTATGGTGCCGCCTGCAGTGAGGTGGAAGTCGACTGTCTCACTGGGGATCATCAGATACTGAGAACAGACATTGTCATGGATGTGGGGGACAGTTTGAATCCCGCCATTGACATTGGACAGGTGGAGGGTGCCTTCACCCAGGGCCTGGGATTGTACACTCTCGAGGAGTTGATGTATTCTCCTGATGGAACCATGTACACACGTGGTCCTGGCTCCTACAAACTCCCCGGTTTCAATGACATTCCCCAGGAATTCAATGTATCGTTGCTGAGGGATGCACCCAATCCAAGGGCCATTTACTCGTCGAAAGCTGTCGGGGAACCCCCGCTCTTCCTCGCGGCCTCTGTATTTTTCGCTATCAAAAATGCCATTCAGGACGCCAGGAGAGGTGCCAAGGCTTCTGACATATTCAGACTAGATTCACCAGCAACCTCCGCCAGAATTCGCACGGCTTGCGTCGATGAATTCGTTACTCGTGTAATTTATCCATTTTTTCAATTAAAATTATCTTTTGGATTATTCTTTCAATTCTTAAAACTTTTTCTCTTTCATTGCAGTTTCCAGATGTCGATGTCGATAAGGCGTGGAACAAAGTACCATGAAATCTGAGGAATGTTTGCTCGAGAATTTCTAAGTATGAAATAATATGTCTTCTTTATCAAAAATGTCTCATTTTTTTAAATGAATAAAGGCATGTCTCACTCCTGTTTCGGGAAGGAAATACGTTTTTATAACTTTCGCGGCATCTTGCGATTAGAGGTTTATTATCCCTTCGAGAAATACCAAATGAGGAAATTGATGAATGAAATACCATTCAATAAGTCTCAAGCATACTGCATCGAAATTGAAATGCCTGGAAATTAGATTTAGTTATCTTTTATCGAGTATCAGAATTCCACTTGGAATAAATGTGACCGTTCGTGAGAGATAACCATTTGAAAAAGTGGAACTCGGCACAATATTTTCCTCGTGTTAACTGATACATTATCGACATTAGATCTAACGCGCACACAGTTTCTTGGAACGATCGCGAGTCGTTGGCGCCATCTATCAAAATACATGTATCAAATAAATACATGTATGAAGATAATTCGCGTTTCAAGGGCATTCGCTATTCTGTACATTTCTAATCATTATCGACGTCAGTGCGACGACAGTGAGTGAATCAATTAGACGGTCTCATTGTGTTCATTTAGAAATAGTGATCGAAGCTATGGGAAGGCCTGAAAGTGATGATAAGAAGAGGAAGGAACACGATGAGGAGGAATTATCAAGCGATTTAGATTCAAAGGCTAATGAATCTGACACTTTGGTCTTTTATGTCAACGGAAGAAGGGTAGCTATGTCGATTTTATTCGTAAATTCCAAGTATTTGTGGGAGAGTCATGAAGACTTCAACTTTTAGATAGCTGACAACAACGTCAATCCGGAATGGACTCTCCTATACTATCTCCGGAGTAAATTGAATCTAACCGGAACAAAACTGGGGTGCGCGGAGGGCGGTTGCGGAGCGTGTACCGTTATGCTTTCGAAATTCGATCGTCAAAGACGAAAAATCCTGCACCTAGCGATCAACGCCTGCCTGGCGCCCGTCTGCAGTGTCCACGGTACATCGATAACAACTGTGGAAGGTATAGGCAGTACCAGAACTACCCTCCATCCCATTCAGGAGCGCCTGGCCAAGGCCCATGGTTCCCAATGTGGCTTCTGCACCCCGGGAATAATAATGTCGATGTACGCCCTGCTGAGATCAAAGCCCAAACCCTCGATGCACGACCTGGAACTGACGTTCCAGGGGAATCTCTGCAGGTGCACGGGATACCGTCCAATTATCGAGGGCCTGAGGACCTTCACTGAAGAGTGGGAGCAGTCTCAAATTGCTCAGCGCACATCTCACTCCACCGGCTCCGAGATGAGACCCTGTGCAATGGGTGAGGCCTGTTGCAAACGCGCGTTCACATCGGAACCAACAGAAGTCTTCAATACCAAGGAATTCCGTCCGTACGATCCCACCCAGGAGATCATTTTCCCACCGCAATTAAAACTCTCCGATGTACTTGACAAAGAGTATTTGATAATCAGAGGGAAAGAAGTTACTTGGTATCGTCCGACGACTTTACGACAACTCCTAGTCCTCAAAAATCAGTTCCCCAACGCCAAGATCATTGTAGGTAACACAGAAGTTGGTGTGGAAGTTAAATTCAAGCACTCCAAGTACCCAATTCTAATTCAGACCAGGCAAATCCCTCAACTCGGAGATATCAACATCCACGATTCTCTGACGATCGGTGCGAGTGTTGCTCTGATGGAGTTGGAGGAATGCCTTACCGATCTCATCACCACAACTCCAGAATACAAAACAAGAATATTCAGAGGAATAATCGAAATGCTCCACTGGTTCGCAGGGAAGCAAGTTCGAAACGTGGCAGCAATCGGGGGAAACGTAATGACAGGAAGTCCAATTTCAGACTTGGTACCAATACTGATGGCTTCTGGAACGAAATTGAACCTCTGCAGTCTCAAAAACGGTCACAGGCAAGTTCCTATGGACCAGAATTTCTTCACTGGATACAGACGAAACATCGTCAGGCCCGAAGAGATCCTTCTATCTTTAGAAATCCCATTCACCCAAGAATCCCAGTACTTTGTTGCCTACAAACAGGCGAAGAGGAGGGACGACGACATCGCCATTGTCAACATGGCATTAAACGTGATTTTTAAGAGTGAAACCGATGAAATCACTGAAGCCCACTTGGCATACGGTGGAATGGCCCCAACGACGAGGCTCGCAGTGAAAACCTGTGAGCAAATGTTGGGAAAACGATGGAACTCAGATATGCTGGAATCGACCTACCGATCATTAATCGAGGAATTCCCATTGGAAGACTCTGCACCCGGAGGAATGATCCTCTACCGAAGGTCCCTGACGCTCAGTCTCTTCTTCAAGGGGTTCATTCACATTACAAAGCAGTTACAGCGCGATGTCCCTGGACTTGCGCCAATCCCGAAGGAATTATCCTCAGTGGATGGAACATATCGTTGCAAATCCTTCAAAAGTTCGCAGTACTACCAGATTGCCCCTGACCGCTCAGACCCGAAGGATTTGATCGGACGACCGATCGTCCACACCAGTGCCTTCAAACAAGCCACTGGAGAAGCTGTGTTCTGCGACGACATTCCAAGAATCGAAGGAGAGCTATACCTGGCTCTAGTTCTATCCACCAGATCTCATGCTGAAATTCTGAAGATCGATGCCTCGAAGGCCCTCGAACTCGAGGGCGTGGTGAGATTCTACTCCGCTGAGGACCTACCAGCCGGCAGGAATTCAGCAGGACCGGTGATAAGCGACGAAGAAATCTTCGTCACAAAAGTGACATGTCAAGGTCAACCAATCGGTGCTATCATTGCAATAGACCAATCCACAGCCCAGAAAGCCGCGAGAATGGTTGAAGTCGATTACGAAGACCTCAAACCAGTCATAAGCATTGAGGACGCCATTGAATCAAACTCCTTCATCGAGCCGTCTCCTATGAGAATCCAACACGGAGATATCAATCGCGCATTCGCAGAATCTGATCACACGATCGAAGGGGAGTTCAGAATGGGCGGCCAGGAGCACTTTTACCTCGAGACTCAGTCTGTTCTGGCTGTTCCCAAGGAAATCGACGAGATCGAGATCTTCTGTTGCACTCAGGATCTGAGCCAGATGCAGAAGATAACTGCCCATGCCCTTGGGCTGTCGCTGAGCCACGTGAATATTCGAGTGAAACGTTTGGGAGGCGCTTTTGGGGGCAAGGAGACCAAGGGGAGGCTGATTGCGGTACCAGCGGCTCTTGCAGCCCATGAACTCCGGAGGCCCGTTCGTTGCATGCTCGATCGAGACGAGGACATGTCGATCACCGGGGGAAGGCATCCCTTCCTGTGTAGATACAAGGTCGGCTTCACCAAGGGGGGCCTCGTGAAAGGGCTGAAGGTCGAGCTTTACATCAACGCTGGATACTCCAGGGATTATTCGCCCGAGGTGATGCAGAGGGCGATCCACCACTGCGAGAATGCCTACAAGTTCCCAGCGATTGATGCCACAGGATGGGTCTGCAGGACCAATCTCCTCTCTAACACAGCTTTCCGGGCGTCAGGGGGACCTCAGGGGATGCTGGTAGCTGAAAACATCATCTGGGATGTTGCCAATTTCTTGGGGCTGCGGCTGGATAAAGTCTCTGAGATGAATTTGTACAAGGAGAACGATGTCACTCATTACCATCAGAAGCTCCTGCGGTGTTCCTTGGATCGCTGCTGGCAACAGTGTATTCTCCAGTCGGATTATGAGGCCAGAAGAGCCAGGGTGGAGGCATTCAATCGAGGGAATCGATACAGGAAGCGAGGAATCGCTGTTATACCCACGAAATTTGGTGTTGGGTACAGTCTGGGATTTTTGAATCAAGCTGGAGCACTGGTTCACGTTTACACTGACGGCTCGGTGCTCATCACTCATGGAGGGGCTGAAATGGGCCAGGGGCTGCACACGAAGATGATTCAGGTTGCGAGCAGGGTTTTGAGGGTTCATCCTGATAAAATTCACATCTCTGAAACTGCGACTGACAAGGTGCCGAATACTTCAGCTACTGCTGCCAGCATTTCTTCGGATTTGAATGGAATGGCTGTCCTGAATGCCTGCACTACTATTGTGGAGCGGATCAAGCATATTACCGATGGCAGTCCTGGGGGGAGTTGGGAGGAATGGATCTCGAAGGCGTATCTCGAGAGGATTAGTTTGAGTGCAACTGGATATTATCGAACTCCCGACGTTGGCTACGACTTTGAGACGAATTCTGGAATGCCTTACAATTATTTCTCGTATGGTGCCGCCTGCAGTGAGGTGGAAGTCGACTGTCTCACTGGGGATCATCAGGTACTGAGAACAGACATCGTCATGGATGTGGGGGACAGTTTGAATCCCGCCATTGACATTGGACAGGTGGAGGGTGCCTTCACCCAGGGCCTGGGATTGTACACTCTCGAGGAGTTGATGTATTCTCCTGATGGAACCATGTACACACGTGGTCCTGGCTCCTACAAACTCCCCGGTTTCAATGACATTCCCCAGGAATTCAATGTATCGTTGCTGAGGGATGCACCCAATCCAAGGGCCATTTACTCGTCGAAAGCTGTCGGGGAACCCCCGCTCTTCCTCGCGGCCTCTGTATTTTTCGCTATCAAAAATGCCATTCAGGACGCCAGGAGAGGTGCCAAGGCTTCTGACATATTCAGACTGGATTCACCAGCAACTTCCGCCAGGATTCGCACGGCTTGCGTCGATGAATTCGTTACTCGAGTAATTTATCAATTTTTTCAATTAAAATTATCTTCTGGATTATTCTTTCAATTCTTAAAACTGTTTTTCTTTCATTGCAGTTTCCAGATGTCGACGTCGATAAAGCATGGAATAAAATCCCATAAAGATTCAAGAGGATGAAGGTTCAAATAAATCCATCAAGCTCTATGTTTTCATGATTATAATTTCTCTGTGCTGTATATTAAATTATATAACTTGTATATTGAAAAAGAAAATATTGTTATTGTTCAACGCGTTTGTACACATCTCCAAACGCGATCATATTTAATTAATTAAAAAAAGAAAAACAAGAATCATGAGAAAATTCTACAGAAATAATCTAAAAAATTTAAATCTACAGTTCCACAACGCCGCAACTAAATACAATAATTCCACTATATAATCGTTATTTATAATTTTGTTTTCATTCAATAAATACTTTGAACAATGCACAAGAGCCATAAATAAGTTTGTTTCATTTTCGTTTGTTCTCGTTATAATGACGTACGCTAAAACTATATGCGTTTCAAAATGCTGTATAATAGGACCAGATTATTATATTACACTGGTTTTAACCACCAGTAATACGCCTAATCTACGCTTTTATGCTGAAACTTATTTAATTTTACGTTTTTTTCTCTTGTTTAATCATTTCCTTAGTCTCCTTGAAATTTCTACTCAATGATAGACATTATGCTACAACACGATCGTGTAAATTCATCAATTGATCCTTGTGGCTCATATCCATTAACCAAAATTAGATTTTACTTCATTAATCAGTAAAAAAAATTGAAAAAATTCAGTTTTATTCTCCAAAATTCGATGAATTCTTTCATCTCTGCAGAGTAAAATTGATCAATGATGAGAGAAGACTTGCAAACTTCTGATGATTCGAGTTATTTACAAAATTTCATAAATACAAATTCTATTAAAAATAATCGAAATAAAAACTGCAATGCGTCAACTTAATTTTCTACCTGAATCGGCGTGTATTGCGAGTCAGTCTGATTTTCATTGTTCTTCAATATTGTGTTTCAGAGTCTTTGATTTCAAGATACATTAAAAAAAAATTTCAACACCTGTTGCCATGAAATAATACGAGTGTCGGAGTATATTGATCCTTAAAACTACCTCTGAGAATTTCGGTTAAAACTGCCCTCCGATGCATTTTGAAAACATTAACGTACATTGTTAAAAATCTCATGATAAATTTCTTCCTTTGCTCGTGGTATTCTCATGAATTTTCATCCATTGACTATAAACTGCAATTTTGCTCAAGAGGAGTAGAATAAAAACAGGGAGAGTAAACAACAGGTGAATATTTTTCCCTTAAAAAATAATCTCCAATTGAATTTTAAAATTAACTCGTCCTGTTTCCCACCCCTAATTCCGAATTATCTAAGACTACTCGTCAAAATCACTGGTTAAATCTCCATTCCCCCATCGAGAACAAGAAAAACTTAGACATTAAAATTGGAAAGACTCGTGAATATAAACGGCCTCTCGAATGGAAGCCACAATTATCCCCTAATTAATAATAAAACCGACAATTACCACTCGCTTTTTCACAAAAATACAGCCAAATATACCACAATAATCAGCATTAAAAAACGATAAAAAAATTAAAACTCCCCCGGGAAACTCGTAATTCCCACATAAAGCAGTAGTTGATTTAAAATTCCAAACTTTCATTTGAAAAAATGAATAAAAAAAATTCCTTGAAGTGACATAAGTAATTACTCTATTAAAATTAATTGTCAGTATCTTAAAAATAACAAGTGGACTGAAACCAACATCTGTTATTAAACTGTATAAATGACATTTGACTTTGACTCTTGTTACCCTCGACGAATTACATACGTAATATATTATTGACATTGTTATTAATCATTAATGATCTTCACATATTCATTTGTAATTATCATCTACACGTGATTGCAACAAATTATTACGCTTACTCACTACTATTCACACTGTGGGCGTATCAATTAAATTATGTATAATGCCTTAAACTGCATTATGACATAAATATAAAACTTTTTCAATCATAAGGCATTCAATAAATTTTATATTTGTTCTTTCCCTCTTCATGTCTTCCGGATGGAAGATTGATTATTATTTCTCATTAATTCAATAGGTTTAATCCTAACAATGGTTTTTTTTTAAACACTACTTCGAACTTAGTAATTCATTTTTGTTTGTGTTCTACCTAGAACTGAGGGTCGACTAATTGAGTAATTATTCTCTACTATAATTTGACTGATTTATGTCTCATTTTTTTTCGGAGAAAAAACTCAGACTTTTTCGTTATTGTGATAATTTTTTTTTGAGGGGAACAATGACACAGGAAATTCATAAAATTTTGTGGGGATTATCAATAAGCTTCGGCCAATTTCATGTGTCTATTTACAATTATCAATTTTGTGAAGTGGCGGAATAAAATGAGTCGATGGATTTAACGTGAATGTCTTGAAGAAAAAAAAATCCACTTCACTTCAATTATGCATGATTCAAGTGTTAAAAATTTGCCAGGAAATCCACTCCCCTTTTCTCGTAAAAAACCTGATTAAACATTGAATGACACTCGAATAAAAAATATAAAATAAAAATGCTGTCCACATTCCCTTCTTTTACGTTAAAATAAATAAGGCTATTTGACAGTGGCAAATACTCTGATTCTCCACGAACATCGACAAAAAGAAGATTGATAAAAATTTGAAGAAATAAAAATGAGAATAAATTTCGTGTTATTTATATAAATTTCATACCTTTAGTGAGACTCTAGCATATGTTATTTGGCAATTAAATGGATAAAATTAGTTCGTAATTTTTCTTCTTTTCAAGTGTACAATTAATTAATCTGCAGTAATACTATGGCAACTCGTTAGCCGTAGAACCTGTGACTACAGGTGTACGTGTACTGCTTTCAAAGTTGTCTCGACAGCTGCTCAATGAGTTTATCGTCAACTCGATCATTGTTTTTCTGTTTAGTTTATTCTAAGGGGAGTTTTGCAGCCTCACGCTTGGTATTCATACCTGATTGTGGCGTTCGGTGCATGTAAGTAGCTGGCCGATGAGTATCTGGGGGATTTATGAGTCGTAGGAAGATGAACCGTGGTCATGGGCTGGACTCGGTGGTGTTGATGGGTTCGAACTGTTGTTCGAGGCTATTGAGTGACGAGGACTTCCACCAGCTGTGTGCTCCTGATAATTAATGAGTTGTTTGTGAATTTTTATTCATTAAAGAATTTTTCAAGTGTATTATTACATTCAAGAAGTTTAAATATATATTTTTTATTTTATATATTTTATTTGAATTTTTGTATATATTATAAAATACGGTATTATTATCATATATTATATATTTATATAATATATTAAATATATTATATAAATATGTGATAAAATATATATTTTTTGTAATTAATATAAAACGTAAAATATGAAATTTTTTGTGTAAAGAAATTACAAGAGATTTTTTTTTGGGAAAATTCACTTGTAATTAATAGCTTTACCTTTTCCTGCAAAGAAGCAACACTACCGAGTGACAGTGGTGTATGGGATCGCATATGAAGTGATTCAGATTCCGCCTGATCGACTGGTGTCCGGGGTAACGAAGGTGGTGTTGCTGTGGGCCGAGGTGGTGCTGGGCCTCTTCTCGACGATGTTGAACCTACAATTGAATCGACAATAAATGATCATCAAACAACCAATGTCTGCAGATATTTGTCTGCTGTGAGAGGAAAATATCGATTATCAAGTACCATTATGAGGCGAATAACCAGAATTTCTCTGCATATGGGAACTTAGACGTCTCGTGTCTGATGGTGGATGCCTGGGTGGCAATGGTGCTGGTTTTGTTGGCGCCTGAAGACCAGTATTTGCGTAAAACTGGAAATGAAAAATTCCTGTTAATTTCGCTGGTGAATTTCTCTCAAATGTGATCTTGATTGTTTTTTTATTTTGATGATCTGAAATGGTCTCCAATTGCTATTTAATTTTACATAGCCCTGGAGTCACCAAAAATTATGATTGTACATAGCTGAACATATTCAAAGAGCATTTTTTAATTATATTGGGAAATAAACCCAATAGGGAGGCAATTGCAATTTAATAATTTGATGTATCTAATAACTATTAGGTCTTTATTTGTTGCAGCAGTCAATGGTTATCAGATTGTCAGTTACCACGATAAATTATCCATTCACATAAATTATTCATTCACAATTGGACTTATTTCTTTTTTTATTGTACAATCATAATTTTTGGGGACTCCTGCGGGCTGTAAAATCCAATGGAAATTGTGATATACTTAACATTATGAAGATGGAAAAACAATCGACATAAAGTTCGAAAAATAATCCACCCGGGGCTTAAAATTTTATCAACAAATTCTTACTCGTTGCTGTGGATTCCCATGCAAATGAGAACTACTACTGTGATGACTCGAATACTGCTGTTGGTCCGCTGTCTCGAGGGTCGTTGGTAAATCCAACAAACGTTGAATCTGCAGAAAAAAAAATGACAATACAATGTGAAAAAATGTATTGCATTGAATTAATTCTGGATAATTTCATGAGTTTACTCACTTGAATACCATTTCCCGGCCCCATGTGACTAATGTGATTGAAATTCGTTGGCGCTGAGATCATTTTCGATCGTCTGTCGGTGGGTCGAGAGCTTCTGTTCCCCTCGCGCAGCGAAAATCGCCTCCTGGGTCTCGTCATCTGTCTCCCACTGGCATCGAGAGGTGCTAAATTCAGTAATTCTCCTGCAGGAACATGAAAAAGTCACGTCAAATCCCAAGAGCCATTTATTCGGCAAACTGAATTAATTTTTTCACTCACGTTGATGGAGATGACTCAAATAAATAACATACGGCATATCATTGATCATGCAATTGGTCAATGATCCCGAATTATTGAGTGGTCGTGCACGTTTTACATTCAACGTCTGCAGCCAGTCCCCAGTATTGCAGTCGAACAGATCCACGTGGGTCTCACTGTAAACCAGGAGATATCCTTCGCAATAGCCTGGAGAAACACAATTTTCATCAATTTACAGATTTTTTTCAGTTTGGTACAAACCACACTTTAAGATATATAGGATTAGGGGTGAGTGGGGCAAAATGGAACAGTCGAACAAATGATTGAGGCAATTCAAGCAAAATTTTTTTTTATCAACAAATATTATTTTATTCTTGGGAGTACTGATGAGAGTAATAATTTACCATTCAGTAGAATGGGAAATTATTGACAAGTTTTGACGGGCGTAGATTTTGTCAATGGATTAATTGAAAGGAAAATGAAACAGCAAAATCCAAAATCCAGACCCAGAGAGAGAAAAAGGAAAGTGTTGAATTTTAATCGAATAATCCATTGACAAAATCTTCTCCCGTCAAAACTTCTCAATAATTTTCCACTCTACTGAACAGAAAATTATTATTCCCATCAGTACTCCCAAGGATAAAAAAAAGTTGTAAAAAAAAATGAATAAAAAAATTTTGTTTTGCTTGAATTAAGTTATGTGAGAACAATTTCAAAAAAATCATGAATATTCGTCATTAAAATGACATTTAGCCCGCAATTACAATTTTTCACACATTCGTTGTTTATAAATAAATAGAGTAGTTGGCTATCCGTAAGGAGATTGTACTCACTGACTGCAGTTGGAACAGCTGGATACATGATCTCCCGATCTCTGCTCTTCCTCCCCTGGCTGTCAACGTAAACAGCGAGTGTTTGGAATACGAGCAAGAATTCACCTCTCGGCAATTCAATGCAGCGTAGTGCATCGATGGCACTGTACGTCAAAAATCCTAGCAGTGTGTTTTCAGGATGGACCAATGCTGCAGAAACACGAGTATATGGAGACACTGAGGCACAACTATGTCGTATTCATGTTACATTTACTTACAAATAGGATGATGATCGCCGAGAATACTGTATATCGAAAAGCCTGATGGATAACCAACGCATAAACGTCCCTCTGACAGTACTTGAAGTGTTTGTGCATGACAGGGTAACATTAATTCTTGAATACGTTTGTGGCGGGTTTTTGTACGTGTTATTTCGTATATCATCACATGTGAAGCATTCTGAAATTCAAGATAACCATCAATTCCTGTAATTTTTTACATTTTTATGAATTATTATTTATTAATTCAGTATTGGCCACTTTTTAACGAATATCTCGGAATCTAAGGAAGATGGCGAAATTTTTGTTAGGACCTTTTTTATAGCTATCAATTCGCTCTACAAAAAAGGTCATTATGAAAATTTCGGTATCTCCCTTAGATTTGGAGATATTCCTCACGCACGCTCCTGATGTCTAAATCGACTCAAGGGTCGGGTGGATTATCTTTCGAGCGTTATCTCGATTACGATTACGTTCGAAAGATAATCCACCCGGGCCTTAAACAGTTTTACCGCTTCACTACTGAATTCTAAATAATAAAATGAAATATACTGTTGAATAAAACTTGAAATTTCATGGAAATTAACTGAAAATTCACGATTTTCATAAATTTTCATGAAAAAATCGAATTGAAATTTACAGTTTTCATGAATTTTTCATTGCAACTGTGACCTGACAAAATTTTTCAACAATTTACCTGTTTTTTTATCGCAACACAGAGACAGTATGTGAGTGGATTACGCCTGACAACGCCTGTAGTCAGAGTTATACAGCCCTTAGTCTCAGCAACTTTGATCCATTCAACCTCATCACCATCGAGTGCACGCACTGGGACTAGTCTCACGTGGCGCTGTTTACCGCTCAGTACCACAATAAGTTGTTCCTCGGTGATATACTCGAGTAAATATATCTTCTTTCCCTCACCAACTTTAGCAATTTCGCTACGATCTAAATCTAAACAGAATAGGCCCTCCTCGGTACCAATGACTAGACGATCAGGATCTATTATCGCTCCTGACATCACGTTCTTTACAACTGACAATGTATTGTCCAGCAATTCTTTTGCACGAAAGATCTGGAAGAATCAGGCAATTAGCCTCTTCATTCTCCCATTGTTAAGTATAACATAATATTTACCGTTGTATTTGGAAGATTATTTCTTTTTAATATTCGATGAAGTTCACTTAACGCCACAACCCATTTGGTTTTCTCGCTCTCAGTGTCAGCCAGCATCAAAGTATGATTTCGTGAACCTGGTGGCTCCAGCAAGGACGTTGTAATCTACAAAAAACATGAACAAATTCCCTCAGCAAATTACAAATCTCATTTCAGTAGCGAAGTGAGTTTTCAGGGAATATCTCCGCATCTGAGCGAGATATCGAAATTTTCGTAATGACCTTTTTTGTAGCGCTCAGTTCGCTCTACAAAAAAGGTAATAACAAAAATTACCCTATCTCCCATAGATTTCGAGATATTCAAAATTGACATAAACCGTTTTAGAAAAAAAGCAAAACAATTGCAAAGAAATAAAGTTTTAATAGAAAAAAAAAGAAACTCACCCTAAAAATGCATGGAATGTCTTTCTTCGTAGCATGAATAACATCAGATTCACGTACTGAACTAACGCCAAACTCCTCGTCCCTCATATCGAGAACTTGCGATACATAGACCGATGGCAGTGCATTACGATCAGGCGATATATCGTAAAGGAATAATTTAAAGTCACAGACAACGACAAATTGGCGAATCCATCCCTTCTTGACGCCCCCCATCTTGGGCACCTTGACGTAGCCCTCGTAGGCAGTGCCAATGCCCCTAGTTGGATCAATTCCAAGTGGTCGTTTTGTCTTGTCATGGGGCACTGGACACATTGCTGGCACTTTATCGCAGCACGGCATGTGGCAGGCAAAACCACATACCTCGCACACAACTCCCTGCCTGGTGAGTCCAACCATGAGGGAAGTGCAGTGATTGCATTTCGTTGGTGCTGAGAATGTTCGCACCAGAAATTGATGGGACTTTGGCTTTGGCTGGAGGCTTGCCACTTGACTGTGGGACGCCGATGATTTGTTGAGGAGTTCGTGAGACAGTGGTGACGTTGGATCCTTCAGGATTAACAACAAATATTTAATTTTACCGAGGGATTTCTATTTCTTCACTAACTGATGAATTTCAAAGAGATAGCGAAATTTTTGTGATGATATTTTTTGCAGCTCTCAGCGAGCTGCAGGGAAAAGGTCGAACAAAAATTTTGCTGTCCGCCTTGCACTGAGAGAACAACAAACACGTTGTCAAACAAGTCTTGTTTGAGCCACCAGAATCGCTAGCTGAAAATTGGCAAAAAAGAATTTGTTTGGTTCGAATTTGAAAGTCTCAAACATGAATGATTGTTCTGCTTTCGACAGCAACGAAATATTTGGCTCAAGAGGCGGATAACAAAGATTTTTCGGGAGCAAAATACGTGTGGGAGTATCGAATAACGAAGGAGTAGTGCTAGAAATGACGTTTCTGCGTCTAGAGAGAATGCAATTTTTTTTGAACAACTAAATCTATTTTTCCGACAAAAATTTTTTATTCCAGCGCACTCTCTGCATGTTTAATTTTCAAAAAACTATTTTCTTGGCGCAAGTAAGACTTGTTTGAGAACTTTGGAGTTTTCCCCTCAGTGTAGATTCCGGGATATTTACTGAAAACTGAGCAATAGATAAAAAAAGGGGACTTACAATGCTCAATTCGGATAAATTGCTCTTGCTACTCGTGATGCTCGGCGCCCGATTGTCCTCGATGTCACCCTCAACGCTGTCGACACTGCCATGACGAGTGCTGCCGGCCGTTTCCTTCAGGAAGTGCTCCAAGTACGACATTTGCGATGTTGGGCGCTCCAAGACTGCAATAAAAACACTCAAGTTGAATTCAATGCGCCACGAAATCGTGAATTAATGAATAAACGTGTGTCGCGCAGCGTCTCGATGTTTCTTGTAAAAACCTTAAATTAGATCACAATCAGATCCTACAACACAGTCATTAGGTTCACAGTGTCTAAATTCTACGAGAGAAAAATCAGGATGAATTACACTATTATTCACTGCTCAACACCTCAAGGTAGTCTTCATCAATGCACCATGCAAAACTGCATTATTTACACGTAATTAAGTATGCAACGGGTCAGTCCAGTGTCGCGAATTATTTCGTAATGGAGTGGAGGAGGAGACTGTTTTGCAACTGAAATTCATTTTTGGATGGGGGTACGAAAACATTTCATGGAAAAACCTAGAGAATTCGGTGGAAAATTCTGTAACATTTCTGTTGGAACATTTTCTATAAAAATGCCTCGATATAAACTTTTTATGTATTTTCCATTATTTTTTCTCTCTCTTCATTAGAAGAATTAAACAAAAAAAATTGTAGAAATTGTAGAAATTTCTACAGAAATCCATTAGAATTTTCTAGTGAATTCCGTAGGTTTTTCTATTCGTAACATGCAAAAATATTTCCAAAAAACTAATTTTAAGGATATTCAACTATCTTTTACCATTTTCAATCATTAAACATGCCAATTAAATTGCGTGAGAAAATGACATTTTCCACAGAATTATAATTTTCTCAAACATTCGTTCCTTATAAATAAATACTTGAAAATGTTTAAATTTTGAATAAAAGTTCATGAATAAATTTTTACGATTCCGAACAAATGATTTTTACGGTTGAAAATTGATTGTTTATAAATTATCCATAGAAAGTGCTCATAATTTCAAAAAATTGCACTTTTAAAATAATTTCATCAGCCTTTTCAACCAATTCAGACCTGCAAATGTTGAATAATAATATAATTATACAATGTCAAAAGTAAAAGGTATTCAACTGGATAAAAAATAGCCAAAGTGCTAGGATATCCTCAAAGATGAATAGACATGTTTCGTTGAATTATCCAAATAAAAAATTTTCAGTTTGCATTTGCGAACTAGTTATCCTCAATAATCACCTCTCCACTCGCCCAAACCATCTCCAAACTCCAGCAAAAAGCGCAAAACCCATACTCTCCAAAAAATCTCCAGTACTTGCACAAATCGCGACAAAAAACGTCTGGGAAATACTCAAAAACCGCAATATAAAACCAGTAAAATGTGGATTGATCGCAGCACTGATGCTTTTGTTAATAGCCATCGCAAAAACTCATGAAAAAAAAATATATATAATTCTTCACTCGGACTAAATGTCAATCCCCCTCATGTGCAAAATTACCAGACGACGATTCGATGGCAACAGCATTTCTATTGATGATTGAGTTGACCGGTGAAAAACGATTTAATAAACGACACGTTGTAATACGGGGTGAACGCATAACTGGAAGGGGTGATGACGGCTGATGCACGATGATACGTTGGGGTTTTGTCGTAACGATGTTTGGTGACAATTTTCTTTGATGATTTGGTGAATGTAGAACAGCTGTCACAAATACAGTTTGATGATGAGCAATAAGAGGCCCCACACGCAGCTCGTTGCGCCAATAAACAGGGGCACTTTGTAGTCTAGAAATCAGAATTGCATACCGTGCCGGCACATCGGGTTACTTATGCTGGATCAAGGATAACAACCCCAATTTTATCTGTTTTAAGACGTTTTTTGCATCATTTTTTTCTTAAGGTGACGGTTTCGGGGAATTTACTTAAAGTAGCTCTACCCTTACGGTAAATTCAAAGATTATGGAAAATTGTAGAAAACTCGATTAGATTCGGAATTCTAATTCTTTTCTCAATTTAATTATCGTTTTGGTTTTTCAAAGAAGAAATGTTTAAAAATCAGGGTTTAACCCAGTGTCTTATGTGAAAATCAACATTTAAAAAAAATCAAGAAAAAATCAAGAATTTTTTTGACACCTCATAAAAAAAAATCCACCGTTTTGCAAACAAGTTTTATTATTTATTTATAAGAGAGAAATATTTGAAAAAATATCAATATTTTGCGAAATTTAATTTAGATAATACTGACTGGGTATGAATTTTTTCAAATTTTTTCCATGCAATTTAGTTGAAAAATTTAAAAACTGAAAATATCCAAAAGTACAGCGTAGCCCGGCCGAAGGGTAGAGCTACTTTAAGGCCCGGGTGGATTATCTTTCGAACGTTATCTCGATTGTTTTTCCATCTTCATAATGTAAAATATATCACAATTTCCCTTGGATTTTACATCACGCAGGAGTCCCTAAAAATTATGATTGTACAATAAAAAAAAGTAGAAAAAAAAATTGAACATTTTCAAAGAGCGTTTTTAATGAAGAAATAAATCCGATAGTGAGGAGATAGTGAATGGATAATTTATCATGGTAACTGACGATCTGACAGCCATTAGATACATCAAATTATTAATTTGCAATTTCCTCCCTATTGGGTTTATTTCCCAACACTATTCAAAAACGCTCTTCGAAAATGTTTTTTTTATTGTACAATCATAATTTTGAAGACTCCCGGGCTGTGTAAAACTGAACAGCAACTGGAGATCATTTCAGATTATCAAAATAAAAAAAATAACCAAGATCGCGTTCGAAAGATAATCCACCTGGGCCTTAAGTCACGATTATTCTCGGTTGTGAATGAGCAAATCTCGTATGATTTTACCTCCTAAAACCACGAGAATTAATAATTCATCTTCTTCACATTATGAGAGAATATATTTCGTCAGAATAGCAATCGACAGTTCCAATGATTCAAAACACGTGTCATTGTCACCCGGAGTTTTATTAAATCACGAATTATTTCCGTTCTGAATGCGTTCAGGGAAAAATGTCCTCTGATTTTTTCTCCGACTACCACGAGAATTAATAAAGACAAAGAAGCTTACTTCCAAATTAATTAAATGACTCCTTGAAAGTCGAATGAAACAATTTATTCTTCATGTTCCTCACAATCATCTTAAAAAATGTCAGAAAAATTCACGGGAACGCAGAATTGATCAATAATCCCGAGCACGAAATGACCAGAGAAAATACATTTCGTCAGACTGACAATCGAGAGTTCCAATGACATAAAACCCGCGTCATTTTCCTTTACTGGGGCTGCCGTCACCTTAATTATCACAATACGAATAGATTGACAAAACTCATCAATCATCGTTGTCTCAAAAAATAAGAATCAATTTACTTCCCCTATTTCGCCTGTACTTCAATTCCAATTTCTGTATATTTTTTTTCACTGCATAATTTCATGATTAAAACAGTAAGAAAAAACTCGTTGTTCACTTATTCGTTAAATCCCCGATCAATCAGAGAATAAAATTTATTAATAATTCATTGACAATTGGGAGATGTTTCTACGACTACAGCATGCACAAAGACTACTCCAAACGACTCGTACAACGTCAGTAATTTTTACTACAAAAAATACTTTGTTGCAGACCTGCATGCAATAGAGTAGACGAGTAAGCTCTCTTCATAATAAACTTAATTAACATCTTCATAATTTATTTATTCGATATAGTATTTGGGAGATCGTCACTACCGTCCAAAAAGCCAGCGTGAAAAATCGAAATGCCTCCAAATAACATAACCAGCATGTACTGCTGCTGTTTGCGTCACAATGACAAATATCAAATTGTGATAGGGCAATTTTTTGTGAATCCTCGAGGTGTGCAGGACATTAATTCTGTTATTGTACTTACAACCATCGCTCGAATCAATACGTGATTGCAATTCCTTGATTTGTATTTCCTTCCTCTTCATTTCGTGGGACATTGAATCCAGTCGTTGTCTGAAGTCACGTAATTCCCTGAAACAATCCACCACAACGGCATCAATAAAAACCCCTTAAAAATATTGAATTCAAGTTGACTAATAAAATAACAAAAACGCAAGAAAACATGACATGTAAATCTGACAGTTAATCTACTATTCCATTTGACACGACAAATGGAATAGTAGATTTACATGTTCCTTTTGGTTTTTCCTATTTCCATTTTTCCCCCTGCTATGGGACCACCCATCCCAATCCAAATAAAACAAAAATAATAATAACAGTAACCCAGGAAAAACTAACTTTTGAGCAGCAATAAGATCAGATCTAGTCTTCGTAAGTTCCTCAGAGATGGCCTGTTTCGCCTGTATCTCGCTCTGCAACGAGCTCTGAAGATTCAGCAATTCCATTTTATCAAGTTTCTGTGACCTCCTATTCCTCCAGTTCTTATCCGACATGGTCGAGGTGCTTCCCACCCCTCCAACCCCCCCAGAGTGTTTCAAGAACTCCAACTCCTCCGTCATCTTGGTAGCCAGTGCCTGCAGATATCCCCTGGCATCCTTCTCATCAGACACCCACTGTATGATCTCCGTGATCTGCGCCTCCCACTGAGCAATCGCCTCCTTCTTGTTCCTCAGTTCCTCGTACTCCTCCTCGATCTGTCGCCTCTCACTCGAAATCCTATTAACACTGTCAGTAACCGAGGACAACTCCAGCAGAAGTTTCTTGTTCTCCTCAGTCAGCATGATCTTCTCCCTCTCGTGTCGTCTGCTCAACTCGCTGATGGTCTCCTCACTGTCAGTGATATTCTCCAGCCTGGCAGCATCGAGCTTGTCCTTCGTCACCTGTATCTCCCTCTCGAGGAGTTCCCTGTGGCCCTCAGCCTCGTGCAACTGCTCCTGGAGACTCCTCATCTCCACATTGTGCCTCCCCTGCTGCTGATTGAGATTCTCATTGTACTGCACCTCGAGCTTCTCCACCTCGGCCTTGAGCCTGTTGATCTCCTGTGTGGCGAGTGCATCGTTAGCCCGCGCATCATTACCCACAGACCTCTGCCTGATCTTCTCAGTCTCCTCCTGCATCTGCTTGCAGTACTCCTCACTCCTCTCCCTCAATTTCCTCTCCTTACTCGTCTCGGCCATCGCCTCCTCGACCCTGTTCTCCAACTCCCTCCTGAGCTTCTCCGCCTTCCTGATGTCATGCCTCAAACTGTCGACCTTGGCCATCACCACCTCGAGCTCCTCCTCCTTGTCGCGCACCTGACGCGACAACTTCTGCTTCTGCTGACGAAGCTCTGACAGCTTGTCAGTCACCTCCGTGTACTCCGCCATCGCCAGCTTCCTCTGGGTCAGGGCGTCCTTCAGCTCCTTGTCCTGGAGCTTGAGCTTCTCCAGAGCGTCCAGCTTGTCCTTCACCGCCTCCTCCTTCTCCGTCTTCAGCAATCGAACGAGTTTCTCGAGATCGTGGAGCTTCGTCAAGTCGCCGTTGTCAATCCCTCGGATTTCTCGGCTTGCCGAGCTCTCCAGCGACTTCAACTGGCACTCCAGCTCGCCGTTGCGCTTCGTCAGGGTGTTTATCTCGTCCTGGAGCTTTCTCGTGGCGTTAGACGACTCCGGGGAGATCGTCGGTGACGTTGTGCTGGTGTTTGAGGACAACTGATTCTTCAATTCTGATATTGTCTGCAGCAATCTTGTGTTCTCCTGCTCAAGGCTCTCGATGTTTTTGTCTCGTTGGGGCTGCGTCAGCACTGGGAGGGAGCCCAGGTCCGATATACAGCTCCCCTGGGTGAAGCTGAAGCCCACGAAGGGCAGGTGAAGCGCTGAGAAGGCGGAATTCGCTGCTGGTGGAACAGCGTCTGAACTCCTCACGTCTGTGTCGTCAACGTCGAAGTTGGAGGTGTCCGTTGGGGAGGAGACTTCTGGGATGTACGGGGCTGTACTGTCTCTCAGTGTCTCCCAGTTGACACCCTCGAACCACGGGTGCTTCTTGAAGTCATCGATGCCATTCTGGCCGAGACGAAATTCCGAACTGCAGATTAATTTTCGCATCAGGTCTTTCGCCTCGTCCGAGACGTCGTAGGCCTCGTCTGTGGGGAAGTCGAAGCAGTTCTTGTGGTTCATTATCCGACCGTATGTTTCGACTAGAGATTCCGCGTAGAAGGGGGTCTCGCCGTACAGCATCTCGTACATGCAGACACCGAGAGACCACCAGTCGCATTCGGGACCGTAGCGACCCTGGCCGTCCTCCATTGCCTGGAATTGCGGAGGGGAAATGTTTTTGTGAATAATTCAGTAGCGAAGCGGTAAACCGGGGTAAGTCGATTTTGACTATTGGCCAGTTTTTTACGAATATCTCGGAATCTAAAAGAGATAGAAAAATTTTTGTCGCGACCTTTTTATAGCCCTTAATGGGTTCTACAAAAAAGGTCATAAGAAAAATTTTGCTATCTCTCTTAGGTTCTGAGATATTCATCAAAAACTGATCAAAAGTCAAAATCGACTTAACCCGGTTTACCGCTTCACTACTGAATTAATGTGAAGGTTTGGGGAATTGGGGGTTTAGGGGAATGAATCAATTAATTAAATTGTAATTAATGGCGATGGGTAGGGCTTGGCAATATCTTCATTTAAGAAAAAAATTATTCAATTCCATTAATTCATTAGCGAGACATTGACGAAAAATTTTGTCACATACGCACGAACGATTAAAATGCTTCCATTCGGAGGCAACAAAAATTACTCACCCTCAAAATTTCTGGAGAAATATAATCCGGTGTTCCAACAGCGACATTACTCTGCACAGTGCCATCCTCGAACAGCCTCAAACACGATCCAAAATCGGCGAGTCGTATGTGCCCATTGGCATCGAGTAAAACATTATCAGGTTTAATGTCTCGATGGACGTACCGTAGATTGTGTATGGAAGCAATGGCCAATACCATTTCGGCAATGTAAAAACGTGCCATATCCTCGGGCAGTCGATCCTCAAATTTGCTCAGAAGAGTGAGTAAATCACCCCCACAGTAGTAATCCATAACGAGATACAGATTATTGTCGTCTTGAAATGCATAATGAAGATTTGTTATCCATCTGCGATCACCGTAGACCAGTACGTCTCTCTCTTCCCTGAAACACGCTGTCTCGGCGCGTTTCAGCATCTCCCACTTGTTGAGAATTTTCATGGCAAATACTTTGTCCGATCCCCGCATTTTTACAACGCATACTTCACCAAATGCACCGCGTCCAATGACTTTGACTATTTCGAAATCCTCGCGCGCCAGTTGGAGGCTTTTTATGCAGGCAGCCACTGGTTTCACTGGAAAATAGCAAAATGTTGGAGTTATTCATCCCTTTTTATGATAAGACCCCGGTCGATTATCTCCCGAATGCGATATTGGTTGTTTTTTTATATTTATAATCTGAAATTATCTCCAATTGCTATTCGGGTTAACATAGCCCTGGAGTCTCCAAAAATTGTGATTGTACAATCGAAAAAACGTTGAAAAAAGCTGAACATTTTCAGAGGATTTTGAATAATATTGGGGAATAAAGCCAATAGGGAGGCAATTGCAAATTAATAATTTGATGTATCTAAAGGCTGTAGGTCGTCATTTGTGACGGTAGTCAATGGCTGTCAGATCGTTAGTTACAATGATAAATTATCCATTCACTGGTTTATAATTTGTTTTTTTTGGGATAAATCTGAATCAAAAAGAATGAGGGAATAAAAAATAATTTAATGTGAAGCATAAAAATAAACGAACACTGAAGCACTGCGATTATCCAATCGCACTGACTCAATGATAAGCACTGTATCATCTTGTTTTCATTGATATATCTCCTTTGAATGCAACCAGAGGAATTTCACGTATCTTGAATCTTTAAATAGATCTCACACTCACCAAATTCGATAAAATCAGAGACTGTTTTTTCACGTCGCAGTGAGGAGTTGCAACACTCGTCATAGAGGATTAATAAAATATCGATGAGCGTTTCAATCGAAAATGTGTGGCCCACACGTCCACCCTGTACTGGACCACTGGTGAACAGATTTTCGAGCTGTCGTAATCTCCCACTCACCCCTGAAAATAGACATCAGTATTTTTTTCTGAATTTCGAAGAGAACTTGAGTGAATCCAGAATAAATTTGCAGATTGTTCAGGAGGTTTTTCCAAAAAGAACATGTGGACTTTTTTCAAAGCCACTAACTGAGAGAAAAACGATAAAGTTCTCAAGCAAGTCTTACTTGTGCCAAAAAAATAATTTTTTGAAAATTAACAAAAAAGGATTTTTTTGTGCCAAACATGCAGAGAGTGCGCCGGAATGAAAAATTTTTGTCGCAAAAATAGATTTAGTAGTTCAAAAAAAATTTCATTCTCTGTACACGAAAAATCTTTGTTTTATGCGAAACAAGGGATAGTAGTTTTTCGTTTCGGCTGTCTAATAATCACAGACAACAAATGAACCCTTAAATGAAACAATAATAATGATATGATAGCAATCTTGTAACTTAGGGATAAAATATTAGTTGATAAATTTTCGTCTGTATGAGATATTTTCATCCTGAAAAGGCACCGTCTGGTGTGAATTATCCGCCTCTTGAGCCAAATATTTCGTTGCTGTCGAAAGCAGAACAATTATTCATGTTTGAGACTTTCAATTTCGAACCAAACAAATTCTTTTTTGGCAATTTTCAACTGGCGATTTTGTTGGCCCAAATAAGACTTGTTTGACAACGTGTTTTTTTTTTCTCTCAGTGTAGTTCTCCTGTTCCCCGTTGATTTGAGAATATTCAGTTTGATAATTGATGAATAAAAATGGGAAAAATGGTTACGTACCCCGGGACACCAGGTCCATTGGGGCAGTGTAAGAATTGTTCGATGGGGTTGACATTACTGCAGTCTGATTTGGCGATCCCTCACCAGGATCCTTTGGCGATAATTCCGTCATTATTGTCCCGGCTGATTACAACCACGGTAATTATCAGCCTCATAACTGGACAATGTAAAACCTGAAACAAAAATCATTAATTGTAAATTTCCTCATCACTATTCCCGACAGTGTCCATCACCATTGAAATAACAGAAAATATTTCTCTGTAAATAGTGAATCTTGATGATTCATTTCTGTTAAAACCTCAAGGTTGTCTCAAAGTTCTAATATCCTCCAGATATTATTTTTCCAATAGATATTAATAATTTGAATGAAATATAAATTGTGAAGAGCAACAAATTGCTGAATGAGGCATTTCGATCTAAATACTCAATTTCCATTACAAAAATTATTAAAATCAGAGTCGGACCTTAATGTGCTTGAAGAAATAGTTGGAGTACTGGTCAGACTGAATTAAAATTCCTACCAAATTCCTCGTCTCTTGTATTCGTTTAGTTTTTCCACTTCATGACTTTAATAAGTGAAATAATGTGTTTTAACTCGAAATTCGCCCCTATAAAATTCCCTCTTCATGAATAAAACATGAATAATAAAGAGCAAAAATTACTGCATGACTCACTCCCATTTAAATACTCAATTTCCACAATAAAAACGATTGAAATCAGAGTCGGACCTTAATGTGCCTGAAGAAATAGTTGGAGTACTGGTCAGACTCATTAAAATTCCTACGAAATTCCTCGTCTCTTGTATTCGTTTAGTTTTTCCACTTCATGACTTTAATAAGTGAAATAATGTTTTTTAACTCGAAATTCGCCCCTAGAAAATTTCCTCTTCGTGAATAAAACATGAATAATAAAGAGCAAAAATTACTGCATGAATCACTCCCATTTAAAAACTCAATTTCCATAACAAAAATGATTAAAATCAGAGTCAGACTTTGAGTTGCATGAAGAAGCAGTCGAAATACTCCTCAAACTCATTAAAATTCCCCAAAATTCCTCGTCTCCTGCATACATCTCGCCACTTCCTGACTTCGTAAGTGAAAATACTTTGAAAAAACCCTCGAAATTCGCCCCTAGAAACCCCCCTCCCCCGACGATAAACAGAAACGTCCGAATGACGTCACCCCAGCTACGGAAACCCCAAAAAAATGTGTCAACTGAGTGGAAAAAACCCCAAAAAACTGTCAAAAATGCTCTAAAAATACCCAACAACATTGAATCCCCACAAATACCTCCCATAACATTACGTAACCCCAATGTCACCCATTTCCCAAGCCCAATAATCCAAAAAAATCACGGAATAAATTCATCTCCCCCTCCCCCAAGCGCGGAATTCTCACCAGATATGAATAATAAAATCAGTGCGACAAAACAAACCTCTGGGCTCAACTACAAAAATAGTGCAATGGTGACTCGGATATGACAATCGTGGACAACTTTTTCAATTCAACTCCTCAATCTCTGCACTCCTAATGCGAATAAATTTTCCCCCACCGACGATTGAGAATGAAAAACACTCGATGAGGAAGAAAAATAACAAAAACCACTCGACATCACAAACTCCCGAACAATGAGGTAAAAAAACAGCGAGAATTTGTGAAATTGAAAAAAAAATGCATGTATTCTATTATGGGTGTATCTATTTGTGGGTTAACCTTATCTCAATGCACTTGTTCAACTTTATCTCTTCACATTTTAATGCGTGTCGTGCAGCACAACTTTAGTGCACGTCCAATTCGATTAAAATATATTATTTGTTTTTTTTCCTCTCCTAGGGTAATTCGCCAATTTTTTTTTATGCCGAGGGGAGTATTAACATTAGAACTTTGAAACAATTGAGCACTTGACCGATGGTTATTTCGTCGGCTACTGTTTTAATTGCATTTCCGGGGGTTCACGTACTCGTTAAATGTTTATAAATCGCACCATTTAATTATCACAAAACATTGTATTGCCACCTCCAAGCCCCTAGCAATTTGGCTGACCCCCTGGCAGGCCCCATACAGATGTGTGTGTGTTGGGTGAAGAAATATGGAGGAGCTACGTCATGAGGTGGACAACATCGGTGGGTTTAGCCGCTATTACGTGCGATAAAGGGAGGTGTGGAGGCAGAAAACAGGGGATGAGTTTGCTGGAGCGCGTGAAGGTGGCGTTACGGGGGACTTCTAGGGAGATGTGGATCGACTTTTGCGATATTGAAGGAAATATCGAAATCAAAACTATCGTTCCGTATACTAAGAAGCAGCCCAAATCTCGAAATTGCGAGGTGTCGATTTTTTTTTACTCGAAGGAAAATATCTTTTATTCTAATTTTAGCCGGGCGCGCCTTATAATGCTAGTCAATAACATTTCATTTATTCTTTTCCGAAATTCTAGAAAATTAGAAAAAAATTTAGATTTCGATAGTGACGAAAAGTATCGAATAGCGATGTATTAGTCGTCAAAAATATCGGCAGAAAAATATCGGTATATCGATATACAATATCGGACACTTCGATATATCGAAGCGTATCGCCCATCTCTAATTCCGTTTTGAAATGGCGATAGAGATGAGCGATGTTTGTCGATTAATCGAAAACATGGATTTTTCATGCCCATAAATCGATGTTTTTCATTCGATGTTTTCAAGTACCGATTAATCGATTTTCGATTCTTTTTTCCAAACATCGATGTTTTTGATCAAGCCAAAAAAAATTCATTTTTAATCGAACAATAATGTTGATTGATTAAGAATTAATATATATTTTTCAATTAATCAACAATTTTGAGATTCAAAATTTCACTCTCCAACAGTACTTATCATTAAAACGTAAGTTCAGGTTGTATTTTTCAATAAAAATGGGATGGAAAAATCTTGAAAAAAAATTTTTTTTTTCTGTGTAATTTCGCAAAATATTGATATTTTTTCAAACATTTCCCTCTTATAAATAAGTAATAAAACTCGTTTGCAGAACGGTGGATTATTTTTCATGAGGTGTCAAAAAAATTCTTGATTTTTTCACATCCAATGAAAAAAAATTCAGATTTTAATCTTTGATTACAATGGGGGGGGGGCATTTAATTAAATATTAAATGATATTATTATTTATTATATCATAATAAATAATAATATCTAAATATTATTTAATTATCTAAACCTCAATATTCCTACGATTTCTTCAAAATTCCATGCAATCTCTTCGGATTCATGAGAATTTCAGATTTTTAAAACCTCTGAAACATATTGATAACAAATCTTTCACCTGGAATTCTCCCTCAGGGCGCAAATGCCCCCCCCCCGGGAGGGGCATTTAATTAAATATTAAATGATATTATTATTTATTATATCATAATAAATAATAATATCTAAATATTATTTAATTATCTAAACCTCAATATTCCTCCGATTTCTTCAAAATTCCATGAAATCTCTTCGGATTCATGAGAGTTTCAGATTTTTAAAACCTCTGAAACATATTGATAACAAATCTTTCACCTGGAATTCTCCCTCAGGGCGCAAATGCCCCCCCCCCCGGCCCCCGGGGTGGGGGCGCCCTAAAATAATCAACGAATTTAACATCGAAGTTACGGCAAATTAGTTTAGATTAGTGTCGCTGCAGCGACATATGCCCACATATGAAATTGGAAAAGCATAAGGCTCAAAAAATCAAGCAGCAGATAGCTGCAAGAGGAGACAGGGTTGGATACGCACGCATGGCCACCGTCCACTCGGTGGGGCCCGTTCAGCCCCGTTTGCGGGATATCCCCAACAGTCTTCCGCCTATATTATTGCAGCCAAGTTTTACTCCACAACACAATGTAATTCAGTCTCTGTTTGACTTTACCCCGGTGCACACTACACGACCGACATCCCAAGATCGCCTTCATTAATTACCCTCCACTCGACACCTCTCGCCCCAAACCCCCTCCAGTGCAAAAATGTGAAATTTTCAATTAATTAAAGCACGAGTTCCCCCTTCCGAAAAATGAAATCCCGTGACCCCAATGCCTACTCACGACTATAATTTTCATTCCGCCGAGACGCACGAAATTAATCGACAAGAGTCATTTCCCCTCTCGTTTACAAATTTTAATGTCAACAAAAACTGTCGGATCGAGTGAAGTTGACCGGGAAAAATGTTTGAACCTGTGAGAGTAAAATTTTTATTGTCGTTAATAATCATCGAAGTGGCTTGTGAGCAGAGGTTCCTGGAGACTCCGGTCTCCTATCAGGAAGTTGGAAGCGGTGAGGACGTGGTCCTCACCTGCAGAGTCGACAACAAGAGGGGCCAGTGCATATGGCAGAAGGATGGAAAACCCATTGGCATACATCCGGAGAAATACGAGTGGGCCAGTGTGCGGAGTAACAGTGTCAGCGATGCTGACTGCAGTCTCCTCATTAAGCGCGCCTCCCTCGAGTTCGACGACGGCTATTGGGAGTGTCAGGTGTCACCTGGTGATTTCACCAGGCAAGACGCCCTGACCTCCCTGCCGTCGCGGCTCTTAGTGAGAGTTAAACCGAGAAAACCTAGACTGGAGTATGGGGGTGCAATCCTGACGGGCGCTCTTACGCTTAAGGAGGCACAGGAGGTCACCATTTCCTGTGTCTCTCGCTATGGCAATCCACCGGCACTTATTAAATGGTAAATAGAAAGATTTGTTGGTGAATAGGACGAGGGGGATGGGAGGGGAGCGGAGGTATTGTTTCAGGTGTAGGTCGGGGGGAAATGCGGTTCGATGAAGAGATTTATAACGTCTCGGTGGAGAGTAATATTACGGAGACTACAGTTTATTTAGTTGAGGAATGATAATGAGGAAGTTTTTTTTTTATTTACTAATGAGGAAGTATTTTTAGTGTGGGGTAATTGAGATTTCAATTCGATAATCAATCGACAAGTAGAATTTGATATTTTTCGGTATGATATGAATTCATTAGTGATGCCGCGAGACGCCGTCTCGTCTCGTCTCGTCTCATCTCGTTTCATTCCCTCTCGTCCCGCCTCTCGTTTCAGTAGCGAAGTGGTCAAACGGTTTAAGTTGATTTTGACCATTGGTCAGTTTTCAATGAATATCTCGAAATCTAAGGGAGACAGCAAAATTTTTCTCATAACCTTTTTAGTAGCACTCAATTCGCTCTACAAAAAAGGTCATTATGAAAATTTCGCTAGCTCCCTTAAATTCGGAAATATTTCTGGAAAACTCAACTAAAGATTAAAATGACTTAAACCGTTTGACCACTTCGGTACTGTTGCGCGTTATTTTGAAAAATTGTGAACCCCGAGGGCACCCCAAAACCCACAAGACCGTAACTCCCCTCACCGCGTAATCTTCGTTCTACCCTAGAGCTGTCCAAAAGGATGGTCTTTTCCGTTTCACGGTCTAGTGCAGCTGACCACTCCTCATTCAACCTTCATTCCCCTTCGTGAATTCAAAAACAATGTAACAATAATAATTACCCTTTTCCCCGCGTTCTATATTTCCCCGTCGCGCAATGTCTCATGTGGCGTTTTATTTAGGTTCATAGGGGGTGACGAGGTGGAACCGCTGAGGGAGCAGACTAATGCCACCGAGGTGGACAGCCCGAAAACATGGGCGGCGCACAGTCTTCTGAGGATCCGAGGGCAACGGGAGAGTCACGGGATGCCCATCAGGTGCCTCAGTCTTCATTCGTCGAGTCCACTGCCTGCCATCGCCGAATGTCGACTCGATGTTCATTGTAAGGGGTTTTTTACCTCTTTCTAACGAACAATCCCATCAAGTCCTGGCGAATTAAATTCAATTTATTTGAATAAATGAATTGTTTTTTACGAATTAGTTCTCCGAAATTTGACTCCGACACCGCTAATTTTGTTTAGTTTAAAATGAAAATTTGCGTCATTCGTGTAAAATAGGGAGAAAAATTATCCTTGAAATATTTAAAATATATTCTCGATTCTTTCAGGAACATTTGTCGGGCTATTTTACGTGAATGGTGCAATTTTTTATTTAAAAAATAACAAAATTTGCTGTGTAGGAGTTAAATTTCAAAAAGATAATTCGTAATTGTTATTGTACACATTTGTCCACAAATTTTGAAAAAAAAACTGGACTGTTTTAAAAATTTTAAGCGTCTGCGGGGCAAACTAACAATAAACAATTTTTTTTGCACTATTTATTTATTATTTGCCATGTATACGCCGTATTGTATTCATAGTTCATATGAAATTTAAAATTTCATACTTCAGATTCTCCCGAATGTAAAAAAACTGTTCATTTCATTCAAATGGATTCATAGTTCATATGAAATTAAAAATTTCATACTTCAGATTCTCCCGAATTTAAAAAACTGTTCATTTCATTCAAATGGATTTATAGTTCATATGAAATTTAAAATTTCATACTTCAGATTCTCCCGAATTTAAAAAACTGTTCATTTCATTCAAATGGATTTATAGTTCATATGAAATTTAAAATTTCATACTTCAGATTCTCCCGAGGTTCGCATCGAGACAAGCCCCCGAGTACTATCGTCCTCTCTTGAAGACTCCTCAAGTTTCATGAGCATCAAATGTCTCGCTGACGCAAATCCACCGGCGACCATCAGGTGGTACAAGGACATGGCCAATTTAGCGAAGAATAACGTAGTAGAGCACATGATAAATAATTCAACCCTGAGCCCTCTCGCGAATGCGAGTGTCAGCGGCTCGGAGATGCGATTTGAGCCGGTGAAGAGGGAAGACGCTGGATTATACTCTTGCAAAGCAGTCAACGCTATTGGAGAAAGTTCTCCAGCAAACTACAGACTCGATGTTCAATGTAACGTATTAAGAACTCACATTGTTTTTACTGTTTTCTCTTCACCATAATTGTCGTAATTTTTTTCGTATTATATCTGTTTAGGATGCTCAAGTGAGAAAGTTCCTGCTGCTAAAACAAATTTACTTGAAAATAGAATTGGGTTTTTTTGTCTTCTCAATGCAGTGAATGAGTGGGAATTAGTGGCGAAGGAAAACAATTCAAAGTTATTCATTCGCCAAATAATGTGTCATTTCGATGCAAATTTTTTTGGAAATCAACGCGGGAGAAAGATTCAGTAAAAATTACGGAACAATTCACGTAATCCGCAATGGGGAATCGTTTTCCGGGAATTTTTATGGGAATAGAAGAGAAGAAATCTGAAACGTTCAGTGAATTTCAGGTTCATCACCGAACAAAGTACGAAATTGTCACGTAATTTTTCCCGAAGAAGTCAAATCTTACAGAAACTTGACGACTTATTGTGCCTCCAAAATCAAAAATTCTTGCACGTTCAACAATTTTTATGAAGCTGGTGAGTTATTTCTACGTTCCGCTCCGTAAAATTTCTCAATCGTTGGGGAAAAATTACAAATCGTAGAATTTACGTGACGATTCGTACAATTTCAGTTCCGACTCACACTTTTCATTGAATTTTACTTCGCTCGCGGATTACGTTTCGAAACGCAATTTTTCCGTTTTTTTCTGGTAATTTTTGTCGAATTTTTCTCTCCTTGAATGTCATAAACATTGTTTCGATGTGTCTAAATGAGAGACGCACTATCGCAGCAATTTCATTCATTATAAAACCGTAAGAGGCAACATTGACTGCATTTTCATCTCAACTTCCTTTCAGAATTCCCCCGAGTCTAAACTCTAGATACCAAACACCTTCTAAATTCGCAATTGCAGATGGCCCGCGATTAAAAATGAGTGGAAAACTGAATGAAACTCGAAGTGAAGTAGAAGCAACAGCGCTTTTGTCATCGACAGTGGAGGCTTTCGAGTGTGACGAATTCGAAGCCAATCCACCGGCGCGTTACAAATGGCTGCACGTGAGAGGAAGCATTTCTGGGCCTGTCGATAATGCAATCGACGAGAAATCTAGTGCAAACGATGGACGAGTATTGAGAATGAGAAATGTCGTTTGGTCGGACGAGGGTGAATACCGCTGTGTCGCGTTCAACGCCATCAACGGGGTGCGACGAGAGATGACGTCGGAGACGCGATTTCTCCTTCACATTTCCGGCCCACCGGAGATTCAGACGAGGGCGACGGACAAGTTCGCGGAGAAGGGGATGTTCGAGTCGGTGGGGTGGGCCGGGGAGCCTGGCCATCGGCTCATGGCGAGGTTCTGCTCAAGACCACCACCGAGACTCGTCGCCTGGCAGTGGGGGAGCTCGCACATTCGTGCTGGTAAATTATTTTTTTATTGCTGCATTTATTCGGGAACGAGAGCAGGCCGCGCGCGTATTATTTTCCTTGGGTGGCGGGATCGTAAAACCCCACCGTTTTTCACTTTCATTAATTTTGATCTCAATAGTAATGTAGAAAAAATTAATGGTTTCAACAGAGTTTTTCACAATGAGAATTTAATTGTTGAATGATTTATTCTGAATCGTCATAATCCTCTGCATCTTCTTCGTTTCCCTCGCATAAAAAAAAAAAAAATTTTTTAAATATATATTTTCCAAATTTATGAAAAATATATAATAGAAAAAGTAAGACATATTTTATATATTTTTTTATATAAGAGATATAAATTAGATAATATAATTATATTATATTATATTATATTATATTATATATATTAATATATTTTAATCAGATATATATATAATATAAAAATATAAATATATATATTAAAAATACATAAAATGTTTTACATATTTTTAAACATTTGGGCCAATTTAAGATATTTCTTAAAATATTTTTCAAAAATCTAATATTATTGGCCATCTCTGCAATTCAGATAGCAAACGAAAAATAACGACGAATGATTCAATCAATGTCGTTGTTTATCACATTCATTTAATTTGAATTAAAGGTGAAGTCATAGAGCCAAAGTACGAAGCACTTCCACTGGAGCCAATAACCGAAAATTCCGAGTTGACGAATTGTTATTGGGCCAAACTGGAGATAAGAAATCTCCAGAAGGAGGATGCGCGAGTTTACAGTCTCTTAGTTGAGAGTGAGAAGGGACGAGATTCGATGAGCCTCAGACTGATAGTGAGAGATCCCACGGAAATGAAGATCATAGCGATCGCCTCAGGTGTGGGCCTGCTGCTCCTCCTCGCGATAATTGCGCTGGTGATTTATTTGCTGTTGAGGGCGAGGCATCGCCGCTACTGTAAGGATCGCGAGGAGGAGGACGAGGAGGAGGGGAGCATCGCTGCTGACGCTTTTTACGCGACACCGGCGTCGATAAATCGGTCGCAGAAGAGTCAGCCGGCCCCGAAAGTCTACTCCAGAAAACATCCCGATGGGGGTCTGGCTGTCATGTACGATTACAATCAGATCGCCAGGCAGACGCAGACCATGAGCCCCGAAGCGCTGAAGGTCCGGCGGGCACCGGCGGTCCTGCAGGCCCCGACAATTGTTTGAAGAATTCAGTAACGAAGCGGTAAAACGGTTCAAGTCGACTTAGCTCTCTACTGATTTTTTGAGGAATATCTCCGAATCTAAGGGAGATAACGAAATTTTCATAGTGAGCTTTTTCATAGATCTCAATTCGCTCTACAAACGAGGTTATAACGAAAATTTTACTATTTGCCTTACATTCCGAGATATTCATTGAAAACTGACCAAAAGCTAAAATTGACTTAAACCGTTTTACCGCTTCGCTACTGAATTGTTGATTCATTAATTAATTGATTGATGGGTTGATTGGAGCGATTTATTACGTCCTAGATTGGGAAACATTTCTCGAGGACAATAGATACCTTCGTATAAGATACCTTAGGGACAGTAGGAGAGTGGAATTCCCACTAATACTCAGTTGATTGAATTTATTGTTTGTGTTTTGTTTTCTAAACCAATTTATTTATATTAAGGAAGTACCAAATACTGGAGAGAGTGAGAGAGAGAGAGTGAAAGGGGCATTTACATTTCGTATTCATGTTTCATGTATTTATATTGATTACCACATATTTGATTTCATTATTATAAATGTTTAATTATTGAATGATGTATATTAACGATGTAATAAATTGATTGTAAATTGTAATAGAAAATTCGAGGATACTTCTTTGATTTGAAAAATCTCAAGACTTTCTCCCAGAATTTTATCAACCCTTTATTCAATTTCGATTGAATCTCTCCGGCAGATTTGAAATTTCAAAGAAGTCCATCACGTTCTCATGTGAACGACCTCCGGTTTCCACGTAACTACCCAGTCCGACTACATTGGCTCCATTGGCTCCAAAAATGATTCAATTTCAAACAACTAATTCGTAATTGTTATTGTACACATTTTTTCAATAATTTTGAAAAAAATGAAACCTCTGTAGCTCAAAAATTGGAGGCCCTGGACTATTTTTATCATTTCAGGCGTCTGCGGGACAAACGAGCAATAAACAATTTTTTTTTGCTGTAATTATTTATTTTTTGACATATATAATCGATCTTCAACGTATGAGAAATCGCATTCCAATAGCTCACGATTTTTAAAACTCATAGTAGTGATGTACTAAATTAATTCAGTTTTTAGTGAATATCACGGAATCGAGGGGAGATAGCTAAATTTTTGTGAGAACCTTTCTTGTAGCGCTCAATCTGCTCTAGAAAAAAGGTTATTACGAAAATTTCATTATCTCCTTTGAATTCAGAGATATTCTTCAAAAACTCAACTAAGAGACGAGTCGACTTGACCCGTNACAATGAACAATTTTTTTTGCTGTAATTATTCATTTTTGGACATATATGATCGATATTTAACGTATGAGAAATCGCATTCCAATAGCTCACGATTTTTAAAACTCATAGTAGTGATGTACTAAATTAATTCAGTTTTTAGTGAATATCACGGAATCGAGGGGAGATAGCTAAATTTTTGTGAGAACCTTTCTTGTAGCGCTCAATCTGCTCTAGAAAAAAGGTTATTACGAAAATTTCATTATCTCCTTTGAATTCAGAGATATTCTTCAAAAACTCAACTAAGAGATGAGTCGACTTGACCCGTTTTACCACTTCGCTACTGAATTGTAAATTGTAATGTCAAATTCGACAATATCTCTTCGATTTTAAAAACCTCAAGAGTTTCTCCCAGACTTTAATCCAATTTCAATTGAATCTCTCCAGCAGTTTAAAAATTCAAAGAAGCCTCCACACCCTCATGTGAACGCTCCTCCGGTTTCCACGTAACTACCAGCCCGACTCATTGGCTCGGCAGGGGCGTGAAAGTGGGGGGACGACTCGTGAACTCCAAAAATGATTCATGTTTCCTGCTATTGTCGGCCCTGATGCTCATTGGAGACCATGGTTGACCGACTTGGTTAGTTCCTCGTTTTATTTACTCTCATTTCGCCGAAATAATCGTCAATAATCAAACTCCCCCTCCCCAAGCTCCCCCGAAAGGCCAAAATAATTTTAATTAACGATTAACCACAACTTAATCCCCAACAATTCCAAGTAATTCACCGCTAATTCACGAGTGTCATTGGTGCGGGGGCAGTGTTTTTGACAGCTACATACGTTAATCAGTGAATAGTGGTACAATCAATCGACCAAGATGCGATTAACTAATCAACCAGAATGCCCATTTGTAGATTAATATTTATCATGCATGCGTGCCACTGAAATAATGTCTCTACCCTTTTATTTGTCTGTGCAGTTAACAGTGAGGCCAATGCTAGGCGTATTGCCATGGTGGAAAACTGCTTCGGCAGCTCTGGACAGGTGAGTTTAGCCATCACTATCATCTGATTCATACCCCTGGAATGATCACTCCTCATGATTGATTATTACTTGACTCAGTGATGATGTTGACTCGTGATTCATTGTTTCGTTTTGCCACAGCCACTTGCTGTTCCTGGGAGGGTGCTCGTGGGAGAGGGTGTCCTGACGAAAATGTGCAGGAAAAAACCCAAACCCAGGCAGTTTTTCCTTTTTAATGACATTCTCGTTTATGGAAATATAGTTATCAACAAGAAAAAGGTGAATTTTTCGGTCATTTGGCTTTGTTTTTTTATTTTTATTTTGAACGGGGGTTTTATTTGCGATCATTTTCAGTACAACAAACAACATATTATCCCCCTGGAGGAGGTGAAGCTGGAATCCCTGGCGGATGATGGACGTGAGTATCGAGGGAGGTTTATTCGTGCATTGAGAGAATTTTGGTTTTTTACATTTTTACTTCCTCCAGCGAAAAGAAAGTTTCGGCCATTCATAGGTGACCTCTTTTTGGGAGAAAAAGTGGTTTTCAGTAGAAATATCTGTCATTTGAGGGTCAGAAACTACTGGATAAATTGAGTTTAGAATGGAATTCCTGGAAAAGTGCTGAGAAAGTCCACATTTGCATGCATTGGTCATTAAATTAGTCTTCTTGGATCCATAGGAATATTGTTTTTTGCAATTATCAGTTCAGAGGTGAAACGACAAATAAATATATTTTTTCCTCTTCAGTTAATCTTTTTTTGAGACTGATATGAAATAAATCCACATGGATTTCGAGTTATTCTGCTGTTGAATTGTGAAGCTGATAGGATAATTATATACTCTGGAGTCATTTTTAAACTCGATAATTGTCGAAGTAAAAATCAATATTTTTCTCAGTGGCACCCTCAGAGTATGAGTTTTCTTTTAAACAAGAAGAAGTGTTTTTGAATAGAAATGTCTGCAATGTCTAGAATATAATTACTAGAAATGCCCTGAGAAAGTCCACGTTTGCATGCCTTGACCATTCAGCCTCTCTGGATTCACAGAAGTATGACTTATTTTCGGTCATCAGTTCAGAGATGAAATGACAACTGAATATATTTTTTCCTCTTCAGTTAATCTTTTTTTGAGACTGATATGAAATAAATCCACATGGATTTCGAGTTATTCTGCTGTTGAATTGTGAAACTGATAGGATAATTATATACTCTAGTCATTTTTAAACTCGATAATTGTCGAAGTAAAAATCAATATTTTTCTCAGTGGCACCCTCAGAGTATGAGTTTTCTTTTAAGCAAGAAGAAGTGTTTTTGAATAGAAATTCCTGTAATGTCTAGAATATAATTACTAGAAATGCCCTGAGAAAGTCCACGTTTGCATGCCTTGACCATTCAGCCTCTCTGGATTCACAGAAGTATGACTTATTTTCGGTCATCAGTTCAGAGATGAAATGACAACTGAATATATTTTTTCCTCTTCAGTTAATCTTTTTTTGAGACTGATATGAAATAAATACACATGAATTTCGAGTTATTCTGCTGTTGAATTGTGAAGCTGATAGGATAATTATATACTCTGGAGTCATTTTTAAACTCGATAATTGTCGAAGTAAAAACAAATAAATATTTCTCTCAGTGCATGAATATCACGAAACTGTTGGGTTCGACATAGGTCTCGATGAGGATTTATCACCACTATTAAGTGAAGTTAAACTTCCTAGTTTATGGTAATTATTTATAGAATATCGCAATGGATGGCTCATTAAAACGGTAACAAAATCGTTTGCTGTTTATGCTGCTACTGCAACAGAGAAGCAAGAGTGGATGGCACATATAACAAAGTGCATAGAGGATCTGCTGAGAAAGAGTGAGATACACAATGATTTTTCAACTTTTACGCACATCATGAGCGAGATAAGTCTTATCGGGTTATTAATACCATTTTTCAGGCGGAAAGAAGCCTGTGGAGGTGCATGCTGCTGTTTGGGTGCCTGACAATGAGGCGAATCACTGTATGCATTGTAAAAAGACACAGTTTACAGTTATCAACAGAAGGGTAATTATCAATTCTTCATTAAAATCGTAGGTTGAATTATTTCAGGGAGAATTTCATACAAATATTTCGTTTTTTTGAAGTTCTTCATGTGAGAACTTTCTCATTATATCGTAATTGAGTAATTTATTATGAAAATAATTCGAATTTTATTCATCTTATGAAGTTCTCAAACAAGTCTTACTTGTGCCAAGAAAACAGTTTTTTGAAAATTACCAAAAAAGGATTTTTTGTGCCAAATATGGAGAGAGTGCGCCGGAATGAAAAATTTTTGTCGCAGAAATAGATTTAGTAGTTCAAAAAAAAATGCATTTTCTGTACACGCAAGAAATGTCATTTCTAGCACTACTCCTTCGTTATTTGATACTCCCATACGTATTTTGATCCTGAAAAATCTTCGTTTTATGTGAAACAAGGGATCACAGACAACAAATGAACCCTTAAATGAAACAATAATAGTGATATAATATCTTGTAAGTTAGGGATAAAATATTTGTTGACAAATTTTCCTCTATATGAGATATTTTCAACCTGAAAAGGCACCGTCTGGTGTGAATTATCCGCCGGCAATTTTCAACTAGCGATTTTGCTGGTCCAAACAAGACTTGTTTGACAACGTGTTTGTTTTTCTCTCAGTGTATGATTAAAAATGGATTTCGTTTCATTATCGATGAAAAAATGATTAGAATTGTATTCTGCCAATGCAGCACCATTGTCGACAATGCGGTGCAGTAGTTTGTGGCCCATGCAGCAATAAGAAGCTATTCCTGCCTGGCCAGGGTAATGGAAAAGCCGTGAGGGTCTGCCTACAATGTTACGACGTGGCTAGCAAAGTGAAAGCAACATCCCCCCCTGGAGTAGACAATCTCAACAATTCAGAGCAGCAGCGCAATTCAGCAGACAGCTCAGGTGGCGACAGTTCAGGGGACGAGGAGGATGTGAACAAGGAGGAAAAACACGATGAGGTAATTTTTCATCACTCTCCATCAGATATGTCTCACTAATCGACAATTATCTCTGTCCATCAGCCAAAATTCTACTCAGTTCTCGCTCGATGAATCCCGACAAAGCGACAGAATCATCACCAGAGGAATCAGAATAGTTGTTCCATTCGATCGGACAGGATTACAATTCAGATCAAAGAAAATAAATTTTTATAATCAATAACGTACAACGAAATGACGTGGGAGACGTGTACAACTTCATTTTATCAATTTTCAAGCATGAAAAAAAAGACGAGTAATTAGTATTTCATTCGCAGTATTCGTATGGCGATTGTTATCTGTATATTTTTCATATTTCAATTTCAGCGGAGCTAGAATCTTTGAAAAATTACTCAGGCTTTAACGTATGATTTTTTTAATTTCAATTTTACAGTTCAGAAAAGGTTCTGTTTAACACTAAGTGCTTTTTAAACAAGAAACAACAGCTAAAATAGGGGCGGGGGACTGGGGGATTGCCCATGAGAATGTTGGAGGTATTCATTTTACCTGAGATTCCTCCTGCTCGTATTTTAACCGCGTAATTATTATTTTAAACACAAAAATCCTTGGATATTTTAAGACTCATGCCACTACGTGCCTTCCACCCACACTCTGGACTTGAAAATTTTTTTAAATCATTCAACATTATACTGGTGGCAGTTTAATTATTCTTTCTCTTTAATTTAACACGTAAGTGATTGATAAATGAAACTTGACTGTTTAATCGATATTTATGGTAACAATTGAAATGATGAAATTTCGAGGCCAATTGAACTACGTATTCCATCCATGAAAATGTCAAATTGAAATTGTAAAAAATTTGGAGACATTGTCGGGTAGGAGCAAGCTAATTGTTTCTCGAGAGTTTAGGGGTAAGATTGAATAAGGTTCAAATTTTCTTCTTTTTTTTTCATAAATTACTAATTTTTATATCAGACATTTACATTTGTAAATATCTTATATGATTGTCGATGAGAATGACGGTTTATCTATTAACTATTATGGAATAAAAATAAAAACATATCAACAAGTGATTTTTCTCAATTAATATTACATATTCCTTTAAACTGTTCTTTTTTTATTCAACTATATTGTGTTATTGACTATTCAAATATTGATTTATTGAGGGGACTGTGCGGCTTCAAGCAACGAAAATTTTTTTATTAAATTTTTTTTTATTCTTGGGAGTATTAATGAGAATAATTTTCCATTCTACTGAAGAATTGCAAAAACAATTCCTTCCAACGTTTCGGAAGCACTAAGAGTTCTTCATCAGGGCAATTTATTCAATCTATTTATCTGAAGATGTAAAGGACATATCAGAGCTCTAAAGAATGCCAAACTATAATCAACTGCTGTGAAAAAAATGAAAAACTAATTTGTTTATTCAATTTCAGGAATACAGAGCTAGTTTGTAGATAATAATCCTTCCGAAAAAATCGGTGCTTTTGTCGAAAATTAATTTGAATCCACTGGCTCTGACAGGATTATCCAATGTGAACCGTTGGACTTTGTTTGTGTCTTCGGGATAAAAATCCTGAATGTGTTTTAAACTTGTTGCGTCTAATCTCGCCTCCAGGCGGCAGTTTTTCCCGACGAATCCGCCTTGAAACTGAATTTCAATTGTTGACAATTCGCATTCGCTTTGTAGATTGATCAAAATCCATTGGGGAATCCCCTGAAAGAGAATAAAAATACATGTGGAGTGCCACTGGCGGAATTATTTTTCCCAGGAAGAGTCATTCCTCACTTACTGAGTCGGAATTCCAGCACGTTTCCTCGCTCTCATCGAACATGAACTGCTTTCCATAGCTCTTGACTTCTTTATTGAGTACTGAACTCACTCTTCAGAATTAATGAAAAAATAAATGTTGATAAAGACTGCAGAAAGGGGCACGAACTAGGCGACATTTCAACTACGACAGTTTAATTAACGTTAATAATTAATAATGCCTGCATCCGTTTGGCGTGGATTTAAATCTCAGCAGTTGAAATATCGTAGTTGAAATGTCGCCTAGTTGAAAAGACATGGATTCGCAGAATAAGCATCGAATGATTAAGTTGAAAATTACCTGCAGTCGAACGAATTTTCCTTCAAAATACTGGTCATTTTGAGAAGATAGCTTGTATTTTCGCTTGACACTAGACATGAGCGTGGGCATCTGTGCGTGGTTACGACAAAAGCGCCACCCGTCTGCGCGCGAGACAACTAGTTTGATAAATTCAAAAAAATGACTGAAGTATTGAAGATAAAATATATAGAATTGGAAATATTGTCCATTGCAATTAGTGGCAGGAAGCTGTTGCCATTTAGATAAAAGTACGTTGAACTCTTCTTCGAGAGGAAAACAAGACGATGGAATTCACGCGATATTCAGAATTCTCACTCAATTAAAACAAGATTTCTTGGAAAAGATACAAAATTAAACTGTTATCACCCGCAATCCGTGTAATTGTTGTGGCCATGTAACTTGATGAATTGGAAAATTACTGGAGTCGTTTTAAATCCATTAAGTTGGGAATGTCATCACCGCAATTAGTGATAATTGTATGTTGAACTGTTCTTCAAACCGAAAGCAAGATAATGGAATTCACTCTATTTATGTCATATCCAGAATTGTCACTCAATAAAAGTTGCAAATGCGCTTCGAAAAGTGCACTTTTCATACAGGTATCGCAAAAACAATTAATCGAGCTATTTCATGTCACATCTCAATTAAAAGGTTGAATTAATTAAATTTAAATTCAATTTGAGTATGTTTATTATTAAGTCATTTCGATAGATTGGGTAATCTAGGGATTTTTTAAATATAAACAATATAAATAATACTTTCCGTCATGAGTATTACTTTGAACTGGTGATTTTATTAATTTCATTATTATACTTTGTCCATTTGATTTTAATTCCGTAGTTGGCGGAACCTCAATCAAAAAATATATAATATGGGCCAATTCCATATATTTGTCAAAATTATAAAGAATATATAGAAAAAATATATGGAACATGTATTTTATATATTTTTCTATATAAATTGGGTCAATTTAAGATATTTTTTTGTACATTTTTCAAAATATAATTTTTTCCGTCTGGGTGTTGTGTCTTTATGAAATGAAAGAGTGAAATGAAATAAAATGAAACATTCATAAAACACTTCCTCATGTATTCCAAACTCATTAATTACGTTTGCATAATTAGTTTTCATAATTCCAAATTAACGACCAGAGATCCGTCGATTCAGAATGCCCTCTCCCCCAGCGGCTTAAGGATCAACTCCTTGACCTCGACCCTCTGCGGGGTTCCTATGACGTAGCCCACAGCTTCGGCCACGTCCACCGGTTCCAAGGCCGGCTCCTTCATGAGCGCCGCATCGAAATTGTTTTCTTTCACAATCTCAGTGATTACAAATCCTGGACTGATGCTCTGGGTAACATCAAAGGAAGTTTAATCAACCGATCACCCTCCATTCATCTGATCTTACACGCTGAACGTACCGTGACCCGAATGTTCTGCCCCATGAGCTCTCTCTGCAGTGTCTCTGAAAACCCAGTGATCGCATGTTTCGTCGCTGCATAAACGTTTCCATCGAGGTCCAGAAATTTCACGACTCGATGCCCCAGAATACTAGAATTGAGAGGTATTGTGACAGTTTGTATGCGATTAATTGGATTCTTACCTGTTCATGTTGATGATGTGGCCCTCGAGTTTCGACTCCTGCAGCATTTTCAAGGCCTCTTTCGCGCAGTACATTGCGCCCATCATATTCACCGCGACAACTCCTCTCCAAGTTTCAGGAGTTGTCACTGTTGATTAGAGAGAATTTTTTATTGTGGAAATAAATGAAATGAATGAAATGAATGAAATGAATGAAGTGAATGAAGCGAATGAAGTGAATGAAATGAATGAAATGAATGAAGTGAATGAAATGAATGAAATGAATGAAGTGAATGAAACGAATGAAATGAATGAAATGAATGAAATTAATGAAATGAATGAGATGAATGAAATTAATGAAACGAATGAAAATAATTAAATGAATGAAATGAATGAGATGAATGAGATGAATGAAATGAATGAAATGAATGAAATGAATGAAATGAATGAAATGAATAGAATGAATGAAAAGAATGAAATGAATGAGATGAATGAGACGAATGAAATGAATGAAAACTCACCGGAAAAACCACCGGGTGTAGCATATCCCGCGTTGTTTACTAGTACCTGCACGGTTCCTATATTCTTCTTGATGTATTCAAATGCCTTGGCAACTTCTTCATCCTTCGAAATGTCGCACTTCACAGCGTAGAACTTTCCCTTAACTCCTGACAACCCCTTCATGTCGTCCTGAATCAATCTCGTTGTATTTATTTCTCGCTATTCCATTTTAATTTGCTCATGTACGAAAAAAATCACAGAAAAATCTTGAAAAAACGAATTTTCGCGAATATCTGCGTTTTTTTTACATACCTCCATTTTTTGTTTCCGCCGGGCCAAGCCCACGACAATCATCCCCTTTTTTACGAGCATCTTCGCTATTTCCTGACCGATCCCGGAGGACGCGCCAGTGACCACAGCTATTTTTCCCGTCCAACGCTCCATTCTTCAATTTTTCAAAGAAGAGAACAGATCCGTTGTTTTTCCCTTGATATTGCTCGCAGCGAGGGGATTATGAATGTCACATGTGGAATTGGCATCGGTTATAAAACATTGTCTCGATGATCGTGGAAATGACGTGAATTCGTGCGAAAGAATGGCAGGGGTGATGACAGGTCAAGAACGTTTGAGTAATTGAACGTTAACACGTTAATAATTGTTCATTACATTCGTCAATTATTAGTAATCCTACCGCACAATGTTACGTCGCTGTTGACATTGGTTAAAAACATTCATGCATATCGTTTAAAAGAACAATCGTCTCATATGACTCGAAAATTCGGGATAATAACTTTCGTCACGGCATCGTCACTATTTTTCCTAATACAGTAGAGGCTTTGTATAAGACACCTTATCAATCGAATCAAGTCGATTTTGGCTACTGGCCAGTTTTCAATGAATACCTCGAAATCTAAGGGAGACAGCAAAATTTTTTTCATAACCTTTTCAGTAGCACTCAATTCGCTCTACAAAAAAGATTATTATGAAAATTTCGATATCTGTCTTAAATTCGGAAATATTTTAGAAAAACCCAACTAAAGAGTAAATTTGCTTGAACCGTTTGACCACTTCGCTGCTGATTTGTTTCAAAATCAATTCCTTCAGCAACAGATAATGCAATGAATTGAAATTACAGTAGAATTCATACAACTCCTGAGGCCAAAATTAGAAATTCTGAGAGAAAAATGGGAAATTTTGAATTTGATGAATACAATGCGAAAATCCCCATTTAGAATTTTCACTTCCGTTTGGTCCTTCCGCCTAGCTAATTCCACAACGACCATTCCATTCCGAACGGGTACCTTAGCAGTTGTTAATCCAATTCCAGCGGATGCTCCAGTAACAGCAGCGACTCTTCCAGCCCAGCTGTCTATCTTTGTTCTCTCAAATTGGATCTCGAAGCCCAACTAACTTCCGAATAGGATTACTACGTTCACTGGTTAATGTTCAGGCGTAAATGCGTGGCGAGAGCGGCTCAGAGAGATTGAAGGACGCCCACCAGAAGGCAACAACTTTGTCAATTATTTTTGCATATAACATCGCACATAAAATCGAGTTTTTCATTTTTATCGCTAATGATTCATTCGCTCGTCCCGAAATTTCTCGAGTTTATCCACGAGGCGTGAAAAAGGGGAAAGGTAGCTGATGAGGCAAAGAACGATTCGATAAATCCTCCGAAAATTTCTAACTTCAATTCTTATTTCTTTCCCATTCTCGAAATTAAAGGGCGCAGGACAACAACACGACACGATAGACAAGCAATTTTATTCCATTTTGCATTATTTTTTCTGTCGATTGGAAGACCTGAATTTATGAACAGATGATGAGGGAAAATTATTACATAATTTTGCCTGTTCGATTAATGAGGTCACTTCAAATTGACGATTATTAACTATAAAACTTGTTCTTATTTTTATTTATTTTGTTAAGCATTTTTTAATTTTAAATATTTAATTTGCATACGGTACACAATATAAGGCGCGGGTTACATTCATTTTATATTTTTATCGAGCATTTATCCAAGAATTTATTAATAATGCCCCCATCAAAAAATAGATTTAAAAAATATATGATATGGGGCAATTCCATGAATTTTTCTCATTTATAAAGATTACATAAAAAATATATATATAATATGTTTTCTATATTTCGTAGCAAATATAAAAAACATATATTTTATGCATTTTTTAAGACTTGCTTGAGAACTTTGTCGTTTCTCTCTCAGTGCAGTTCTACCATATATTCACGCAAGAAAATAAATACTTAGAAAGCCCTCTCCCCCAAAGGTCTGATTATCAACTCCGTTATCTGGACCCTCTGCGGCATTCCCAGAACATAAACAACCGAATCCGATATGTCCTTGGGTTCCAGGCTCGCTCCCTCGAAGACAGACGGATCGTTACCGTATCTACTTAATATGTCGGTCTTCACCAGGCCCGGGCTCAAACTCTGAAATTAAATATGATTGATTGAGAAATGAATTCGAATGCCCGAAATGATTGCAGAGTATTCAACTGACCGTGACCCGAATGTTCTGCCCCATTAGCTCTCGCTGAAGTGTCTCGGTGAAGGCAGTGATTCCGTGTTTGGTCACTCCGTAAATATTGAAAGACATTTCGTCGAACAGGTAAATCCGGTGGCCTTGGATGCTGGAAATGATTGATGCATGTCGATTAACGTCTGAGATAAGTAGTGATTATAGGGTGCCCCATAAAAAATTTCATCAATAATTCTCCCAATCCCCAATTTCATCCAACAATTTCTCCCAATTCGTTCAAAAACGAATTATCACATTTTAATGAGTTGCATCACCTGTTTATGTTGATGATGTGACCCTCAACTTTGGCTTCTTGCATCATCTTGACAGCCGCTGTAGCGCAGTAGATCGAGCCCATTAAATTGACGTCAACGACCCCCTGCCAAGTGTCTGGTACTGTGTCTGTTCGAATTATTCATCGTTTTCATTATTCCGAATGACCGAAAAAATAGTCTTGAGGAAATTGACTAGAACAATTGTTACCAGCGAACGTTCCGAGAGCTATATACCCAGCGTTGTTAATCAGAACTTGAACGGTTCCCAGATTTTGCTTGATCCATTGGAACGCTTGGGCAATGCTGTCCTTCTTACTGACGTCGCATTCCAACGCGTGGAGCTTCCCTCTAGCACTCGCGAGATCTTCCATCTCGTCCTAAGTTACTCGCAGAATTCAAGAGGTGTTGGAAGAATTTTTTGCGAGAAAATGAGAAAATAGTGTGATGCCGCGAGACCTTTCACGAGACTTCACGAGACAAAACTTTGGAGAGATGATCTCGGTCTCAATGAGCACGGAAATCTTCGCTCTTGTCTCGAAATACGCAGCATCGACTCCTCTCGTGATGACTCCGAGTCACTTTAATAGTGATGCCGCGAGAGACTTTACGAGACATCACGAGACAAAACTTTGGAGAGCTGATCTCGGTCTCAATGAGCACGGAAATCTTCGCTCTCGTCTCGAAATACGCAGCATCGACTCCTCTCGTGATGCCTCCGAGTCACACTAATAGTGATGCCGCGAGAGACTTTACGAGACATCACGAGACAAAACTTTGGAGAGCTGATCTCGGTCTCAATGAGCACGGAAATCTTCGCTCTTGTCTCGAAATACGCAGCATCGACTTCTCTCGTGATGACTCCGAGTCACTTTAATAGTGATGCCGCGAGAGACTTTAAGAGACATCACGAGACAATACTTTGGAGGGATTGTCTCGGTCTCAATGAGCACGGAAATCTTCGCTCTCGTCTCGAAATACGCAGCATCGATTCCTCTCGTGATGACTCCGAGTCACTTTAATAGTGATGCCGCGAGAGACTTTAAGAGACATCACGAGACAATACTTTGGAGGGATTGTCTCGGTCTCAGTGAACGCGGAAATTTTTGGTCTCGTCTCAGAGACGAGAGCAAAGATTTCCATGTTCATTGAGACCGAGATCATCTCTCTAAAGGTTTGTCTCGTAAAGTGTCTCGCGGCATCACTATGGGAAATGAGAATGAGAAAAAGAAAAAGTTTAGTCCGCGAGGGTTGGTCACTCACCAGCATCTTCTGTCTCCTCCTGGCAAGTCCAACTACAATCATTCCATGTTCAATGAGGGCTCTAGCCGTCGCCAGGCCAATGCCGGCCGAGGCACCAGTCACAACAGCAATTTTTCCGACCCAACGATCCATGCTTACGGAGAACAAGACGATAATTCAACGATGAATGATTGCGGATGTGCGCGCTTCCAAGTTCAGACTTGAAATGAGACGGTAATTTACAGAGGCACTGTGGACCCGGATTTTCAAAGACCAGCGCGCGTGCTTGTGCTTTAGAGTGGGCGTGTGGTACCCTTTGGAGACTGCGAGGAATCACGATATTGAAATTCTACAACTCGAATTTGACCTAAGATTTAAGTCGATTTTGACTACTGATCAGTTTTCAATGAATATCTCGGAATCTACGGCAGATGGCGAAATTTTTGTAATGACCGTTTTTATAGAGCGAATTAAGAGCTACAAAAAAGGTAATTACAAAAATTTTTCTATCTCTCTTCGTTTCGGAGATATTCCCCGAAAACTCAGCCGAGAGCTAAGTTGACTGGTGACACCGCGAGAGACTTTACGAGACAAACTTTGGAGAGATGGTTTCGGTCTCAATGAACATGGAAATCTTTGGTCTCGTTTCAGTCTCGAAATGCGCAGTATCGACTTCTCTCGTGATCACTCCGAGTCAATTTATCTCACCTCGATCTCAAGCTTTTCGTATTTTTCGGGTGAGATTTTGTGCTCCTAGTAATTTTTAAGCCATGAATTTCTTGATACAAGTAAAAACGTACTTCTCAATGAACTCTTGTCTTCTCAGTGTTATCTCAGAGGTACGTTTATTCGTGAATTCAGAGTTTTACTCGCGAATTATGTCACATGCTCGCGTGCACAGTACATCCTACATTCAATTTTCAGTGACCTGAGACATCGTTCATTACTTGATATGAAAGAACGTATAGTGTTCATGATGTAATTCGCTAAAAAAAATTCGAGTTTGCAGAAAAATAAATGAATAAATAAAATTTCGGATGGCAAGCCTCTCTCAGTAATTAAAAATTCTAGAAATGGGTTCCAATTTTCGAACGACGGAAATCCTCTCTCCCACGATTTAGTTTGGTTGATGTAATCACAGAAACTTTCCCTGTTTTTTGTGCGTCCGAGTGTTGTGCCGCGGGTCGCAGGTGAGCGAGGGTGTATATGCTGAAGACAATGCAAAGTAGGAAAATTACTCGGTTCGACGTGTCTCGTTCGAGGAAAGTTAAATGTGGCGTTCAGGGAGACTTCCGATGACATGCAATAAGGAAAAGAGCAATTTCCCGTAAAATATTTTCTTCATTCTAGAGAAACAATTGAATGTAAATATTGAGGCTGAGAGAAAAGCGACAAAGTTCTCAAACAAGTCTTACTTCGTCTTCGTTTTCGTCTTTTCGAAGAAAATAGTTTTTTGAAAATTATCAAAAAAGGATTTTATTGTGCTAAACATGCAGAGAGTGCGCCGGAATGAAGAATTTTTGTCGCAGAAATAGATTTAGTAGTTCAAAAAAAATTGCATTCTCTGTACACGCAAGAAATGTTATTTCTAGCACTACTCCTTCGTTATTCGATACTCCCATACGTATTTTGCTCCCGAAAAATCTTTGTTTTATGCGAAACAAGGGATAGTAGTTTTTCGTTTCGGCTGTCTAATAATCACAGACAACAAATGAACCCTTAAATGAAACAATAATAATGATATGATAGCAATCTTGTAACTTAGGGATAAAATATT